ATTCCACCTTCTGCTGCTCAGTCCCCAGGAGGAATTTTCAACCCAATGTGGCACTAAATCTATTTGTAAGGGGTTTGTTTATTTGTTTGTTTGTTTCATATGTTTGCTGTCCCTCTTGCTTCAAAGCAAGTCTGGGCAGCTGACAACATCAAAGAAGCAATTAAATCATAAAGGCTAAATATTTATAAAAACAATAAAAATGGAATTACAACCAAAAAGTAAAGCTACAATTAAAAGATTACATTACAAAAAAGATTTTGAGACTTTAGAAAAAAGGCAGAGAAGAGACTAAAACATATGAAGAATGGCTGCAGGACTTGGGTTTGGCTAGTCTAAACAAAAGGAGAAACAAGGATGACACGATAGCAGTGTTTCAGTATTTCAGGGGCTGCCACAAAGAAGAGGGCGTCAAACTATTCTCCAAAGCACCAGAGGGCAGAACAAGAAACAATGGTTGGAAACTGACCAAAGAGAAAGCAACCTAGTACTAAGAAGAAACTTCCTAACAGTGAGGACAATCAACCAGTGGAACAGCTTGCCTTCAGAAATCATGGGCATTCCATCACTGGAGGTTTTTAAGAAAAGACTAGACAGTCACTTGTCTAAAATGGTGTAGGGTCTCCTGCTAGGGAAGGGAGCTTGACTAGAAGACTTTGAAGATCCCTTCCAGCTCTATTCTATTCTGTACCTTGTCCACCTCCATCTTCCTTCTACTCTGAATGAGAATGAATGCTTTTGGATGCTTTTGAAACTATGTGGTTGTGGTTCATGTTTTTCGCACGTTTGTGAACCTGGGCCTCTGCTGTTTATTCAAGTAAAATGAATTCCTTTATTGTCCCAATATAGAATGTGTTCTTTCACACAACATGCAGTAATAGGGACCAAAAAGATGCATATATATTAAATCTTTTGAGAGATTTTTTTTTCTTTCCCTTTTCAATATCGTTCCATATTTTCACAACCACAATATGTTTCGTGACTCACTTTTTATCGCAGTCTTTAAGCAAAGCCTCCCTCATTGACTTTGCTTTTTGTAGGCTGGCCGGGCACATTACAAGTCAGGTTCACACGACCGCGGGACACTGCAGCCATGATAAATGTGAGACAGTTGCCAAGCACCTAAATCCCAGTCACAGTGCAACTATCATAAATTTGAGGATAGGTCCTAGGTCATGTTGTTCAGCATTGTCGTAACCTGGACCCATGCTGTGCAGGGTTTTATAGGTAATAACCAACTCCTTGCATTGCAACAGGAAGCAAACCAGCAGCCAGTGAAGTCCCAGATATTGAAGCTCCATGCACCCAAAGCCATTTGGTCATGCCAAGGTTCAGCCAAATCCAGTTGTTCCCCCCATCCAGGACCCCACAGCCTTCAGACACAGTGAGAGGGCAGTGGAAGCATTACTTGGATCACCAGAGGTGGAGATATAAAGTTGAATATAATCAGTGTACTGTTGACCCATCAACACTCAACCCATGGTGGCAAATGACCTTCCCCAGCAGTTTTATGTAGATGTTAAAAAAGAGTGGAGAGAGTACTGAGCTCTGTGGCATGCCACAAAAGAACATTTGTGTGCTGGACCTCTCACTCCCTATCAGCAATGATTTGGATCAGCCTTGGAGAAAGGAGCCAAGCCAGTGCAATACTGTGCTGCCCAGCCCCAAACCCTGAGGCTGGCCCAAAAGGATACCTAGGTTGATGTTATTAAAGGCTGACGAGAGGTTAAGGAGAACAACGATGGTTGCACCAACCCAATCCTGCTCTCACCATAGATCTGCTTTTTCTTTTCCTGAGCCTGAATCTTTTTTTTAATTATTATTGAAAATTTTTAAAATTTTACGAAAAAGTTCCCTTCCCCAAACCCTCCCAACCCACCCCAACCCTCCCCCAACATTCCCAGAGCTGAATACAGGCTTAATTAAAATTTAAAAGAAAAAGTTTTAAACACAAATAAACCATATACAAATTTGATTACGATAATTAAACAAATTATAAAATACTTTAACACCCACATTTAGAAAGCAAAAAGAGAAAAAGAAAAGAAAAAGGAGGAAAAAAAGAAAAAATCTTAAACTTTAAATATAAATTATTCAAAAACTAAATAATATTTTTATATCATATTTATATTGTATAAAATGTATCCATCTTTTCCATACCAAGAGGTACTTCTCTTGCGATTGATCTTTCAAAAAAGCCAAAATCTTTGCCATTTCCGCTAAGTAGGAAATTTTAAGAAACCATTCTTGCAAAGTAGTCAAAGATTCCTTCTTCCAACATTGCCCTACTAACAACCTAGCCGCTGTAATTAAATTTAACATTAATATAGTTTCTTTACTGTCACAATCGGAAACAATACCCAGCAAAAACAATTGTGGAGTAAATTTTATCCTTTTTTAAAAAATTCTTTGAATATTCCACCATATCTTAATCCAAAAAGCTTTTATATTTTTACATGACCACCAAATATGATAATAAGTAGCATCCAAGCAACCACATCTCCAACATTTAGGCTGCAAGTTTGAATACATGCGAGACATTTTTTGTGGATCAAGGTGCCATCTATAAAACATTTTATAAAAGTTTTCCCGTAGATTTTGAGCTTGTGTGAATTTAACATTCCTCACCCAAATAGTCTCCCAAGTATCTAATGGAACCGATTCATCAAAGTTTTGTGCCCATTTAACCATACAATCTTTAACTAGTTCTGCTTCAGAATCCAATTGCACTAACACCCCATAAATTCTTTTAATATGGGTTCGTCTTTGATCTTTTATTTGTTTTAACAAATTCTCATCCTCTCTGAGCAAACCCACATTGCAACCTATCTTCCACCTTTCCAATAGTTGTCTATACTGAAACCATGAATAAATAATATTTTCTTGTATTAAGTCTTCCATAGATTTTAGTTGCCAATTTTTGCCATCCCATCTAAGTAATTGTGTATAAGAAATACTGTCCATCTTAACTCCTCTTCTTATCCCTTCTATCGCATGCCATGGGATAGCCAATAATGGAATTCTAGAATCACTTCTATAATATTTTTTCCAAACCCGAAGTAAAGAAGTTCTTAAAATGTGAGACTTAAAAACCCTATCAACCTTTTTATTAAAAGTTAAATAGGCATGCCATCCAAAAAGTAAATCCCATCCCTCCAGGAGGAGTACATCTACATTTGTTAAGTTAACCCAATCACTAATTAATGTTAACACCACAGCATCATAATACAATTTCAGGTTCGGTACCTTGAGTCCACCTCTCTCACGAATATCTTGTATAATTTTAAGTTTTACTCTTGATTTTTTCCCTGCCCAAATAAATTTATTGATACCTTTCTGCCATTCATTTAAGTTAGCCTCATTCTTTAAGATAGGTATCATTTAAAATAAAAAAAGAAGCTTTGGCAAAACATTCATTTTAATCGCTGCAATTCTCCCCAATAGGAATAATTGCAGCTTCTTCCAATTTTCCAAATCCTTTTGTATTTTAACCCACAGCCTTTCATAATTATTTTTGTACAATTTTGCATTGGAAGCAGATAAAATAACCCCCAGATATTTTACTTTATTAACAACCTCAAAATCTGTCAGCCTAACTAGGGTCTCCTTATCCAAATTGGTCATGTTTTTAGGCAATATTTTAGTCTTATTATTATTAATTTTAAAACCCGAAACTTGTCCATACTGATGTATCAATTGTAACAACTCCATTACAGAATAAGTTGGTTGGGATAAAGTAACAACCAAATCATCTGCAAAAGCCCTTAATTTATATTCTTTTTTATTAACTTCTATTCCTTTTATTTGCTGTGATTCCCGAATTTTAATCAGCAAAATTTCCAAAGTTAAAACAAACAGCAATGGTAACAGTGGACAGCCCTGTCTAGTCCCCTTCTCAATTGAAAATACCTCTGATAAACCTCCATTGACTATAAGTTGTGCCGTTTGTTTTTGATAAATAACATGAAGAGCTTGTAAAATTTTTTCTCCAAAATTCATTTCCTCAATTAATCTTAACATAAATTGCCAATTTAACTGATCAAAACCTTTTTCAGTGTCTAAAAATATCAATCCTGCAGAAACTTGGTTGTTTTTATCCAAATATTCTATTAAATTAATAATTTGTCTAACATTATTCTTCATATACCTTCCAGTTATAAAACCCGTTTGATCCATATGTATTAATTGATTCAACACCCTCATAAGTCTATTAGCTAAAATTCCTGAGCCTGAATCTTGACTGGAAGGGATCTAGATAATCTCCAAGATCTTCTGGAGATGCCAATCAACAGCTCTTTTATCACCTTCCTTAGAAAGGGAAGATGGAAAACTGGATGGAAATTATCCAGGCAGGTGGGATCAAGTGATGTTTTTTCTAAGAAGGGATCAAACCAGGGGCTCCTGAAAAGGCTCCAGAAATGTCCCCTCCTGCACTAAAGAATTTATCTCTGCTTCAATCCACCTGGCAGCCATCATCCTGGGGGCTTTCACAACCAGGCGGGTCAATGATCTAATTGACAGGTGGATGCACTAATAGGATCACTTCATTGGGTCCAACAGGATTAAACTGTTCCCAGACAACTGGGCAAGATCTTCCCCCAGGCATCTCACACGGACCTGTACAATGCTTGGGTTTCCAACTGGGAACAAATACTAGCAATGTTGTCCCTCAGGTAGGAGTATGCTCTGGGTACTTTAGATATACTTTTGGTGTAGGTGGGAAAAGATAAAAGGGGTGCTTGTTCAGATGGAAGAGCATTCAGAATAGCACAAAATTTAAAAAAGGCCACTTACCAGTCTACCTTCATCATCCTAAAAAGGAAACAAAAGATAACTATTGTTGTAAAATTCATGACTTCTCCAACCACACCATCACTACCATCTTTAGTGTAACATGTATGAATTCTTTCATTGTCCAGATATAGAATGCGGTCTTTCACATACCGTGCAGTAATAGGGACCAAAAAGATGCATATATATTAAATATTTTAGAGATTTTTTTCTTTCCCTTTTCAATATCGTTCCATATTCTCACAACCACAATATGTTTCATGACTCACTTTTTTATCGCAATCATGACGCAAAGCTTCCCCCATTGACTTTGCTTGTTGTATGCTGGCTGGGCACATTGCAAGTAAGGATCACACAACCGCGGGACACTGCAGCCATGATAAATGTGAGCCAGATGTCAAGCACCTAAATCCTAGTCACAGTTCAACTATCATAACTTTGAGGATAGGTCATAGGACTCCTTATTCAGCATTGTCGTAACCTGGGCCCATGCCATGCAGGGTTTTAAAGGTAACAACCAACTCCTAGCATTGCAACAGGAAGCAAACCAGAAGCCAGTGAAGTCCCACATATTGAAGCTCCATGCACCCAAAGCCATTTGGTCATGCCAAGGTTCAGCCAAAACCAGTTGTTCCCCCCTCCAGGACCCCCACAGCCTCCAGGCACAGTGAGAGGGCAGCGCAAGCATCACTTGGATCCCCAGGGGTGGAGATATAAAGTTGAATATAATCACCATACTGATGACCCATCAAAACTCAACCCAAGATTGCAAATGACCTCCCCCAGCAGCTTTATATAGACCAGCGGTTCTCTACCTGTGGGTCGCGACCCCTTTGGGCATCTAAGAAAGGGCTTTTCCTCCCCCCACTGCTTCCCCCATGGCATCGCCTTCCTCCCCCACTTCTTCACAGCTCACTTGCTTGTTGAAAAAAAAAAACTGCTTGGTGACGGCAACTGTTATTAAAGGCTGACGAGAGGTTAAGGAGAACAAGGATGGTTGCACTGTCCCAATCCTGCTCTCACCATAGATCTGCTATTTCTTCTCCTGTTTCTTTTCCTGCATTTGTCTGTTTTGGCAGTTCATATTTGGCAATTTTACATAGTCACTTACATCGTCCCTCTCTCCTATTCTTCCTCCACCTCCATCTCCTTCTACTCTCCAAGTAAGTTAGCAAATTACAGAGTGATTGCTGTATAAACAAACAATTGCCTCTGAACATCACTATCCATCGAGATTTCTTGTGCAGCTATGAGAAGCAAAGTGGTCTTTGAAATGTCAGAGAAGAATCTCATCTCAGAAGAAGACCCAAAATGGACCAGGCGATCCTGAGTCCTCATGAATGTCTTCATATAGACCGCAAGCTAGGGGAATAGTGGGGTTCCCTTGGGAAACAAAGAAGAAATTAGGAATCGGCATATCCAAAAGAGATATTCAGAGGGCAAATGGCAAGATGTGAAAAAAGAGGTGCAGGGATTTGTTACCCCAAGAAGTTTGGAAGTTTCACTCCCTCCCTATGATCCTCTAATGAATTGGGCAAGAATAACTCTCAGCTTTTTTCTCATGCTTCCAGTTTCCTGAGATTAAAATGTGTTTTTCCAACAGCCATCTCTGCCTAGCTTCCCCATGCTCATATCCATAGCTCTCTACAAACTTTATCCTTTCAACATTCCTTACAATAGTCAAATTCCTGCTAGAATTCCTGCAATATCAGATGTTTCATGGGACTGGCTCTCAAGAGGTGGCTGTGGTTATGTACACAAAGAATAACATTGCAAATATCATGAAAATAAGAAGCATTAAATGTATATTGATTCACCCCTAATAAATCCAACATTCCACCACCAGATTGGCCATTCTGCAAAAAAGGAGGAAAAAAAATCATCCAGGATTATGGATGGTTTTGAAACTATGTTGTTGTGGTTAAGGTTTTTGGCATGTTTGTGAACCTGGGCCTCTGTTGTTTGTTCAAGTAAAATGGAGCCCTTCTGGAAGGTAACTGTGGTTCAAAACAGAATAGCAGAAGCAGAAATGGAAACATGTGCTTAGGTCCATGTGTCATCAATCCTATTCAACCTGCATTGAGGACTACCTATCATAGGAAAGCAAAGGGGTCCTGAAATCTACAGGAGATGTTGTAAGATTGCATAGGGTATGATGCATGAAAATGAGGTTCAACCCTGCACTTCGGGGAGATAAGGGGCATCAACACCTCCTGAAGGTGCAAAAACAATGTTGCCCATACTATCGTATAATCACCTAAATGGTGAAATTACTTCCTTACTGACACAATTCACCACCACAAAAAAACATCATCCTCTCTCGTGTCATCTGTCACATTACCCACGTGCACATCTATGGTCAATATCTGAATTCCACCTTTTGCTGCTCAGTCCCCAGGAGGAATTTTCAACCCAATGTGGCGCTAAATCTATTTGTAAGGGGTTTGCTTGTTTGTTTATTTGTTTGTTTGTTACATATATTTGCTGCCCCTCTTGCTTCAAACCTAGTCTGGGAAGCTGACAACGTCAAAAAAGCAATTAAATCATAAAGGCTAAATATTTATAAAAACAATAAAAATAGAATTACAACCAAAAGTAAAGTTACAATTAAAAAATGGGGAAGAAGCAGGATGTGTGGCAGGAAGAAGGGATTATTCTTTAATTCATCAACCACCTCCAGGGTGATGCTCTGCCCTTGGGAGTATCTGCAGCTGGCAGAGCCAGGTCTTCAGGCCCTTATGGAAGGTTAGAAGAGCGGGAGCCAATCTCATCTTCGGGGATAAGATCTTCAAGAGGGTAGGAGCCACAGCAGAGAAATTCATTCTCCTGGGTCCGGCCAACTGAGATTCCCTGACTGATGGGTTCTGCAGCATGCCTGCTCTGCCGGCATGGATGGGGCAGGCCAATCCTAGTGGACTGAGATGCTTCATTTATTAACCTAGACCCATGCCATGCAGGTTTTTGAAAGTAATAACCAACTCCTCCAATTGCACCCGAAAGGGTCCAGAAATGTCCCCTCTTGCAGTGAAGAATTTATATCTGCTTGAATCCACCTGGCAGTCATCATCCAGAGGGCTTTCTCCAACCAGCCAGGTCACTGATCTATTTGACAGGTGGATGCACTAATAGCATTAAAGACTCTATCCATTTCATTGGGTCCAACAGGATCAAACTGTTCCCAAATAACTGGGCAAGATCTTCCCACATGTATCTCACACGGACTGCACCATGCTTGGGTTTCCAACTGGGAACAAATATTAGCAACCTCATCCATCAGGTAAGAGTATGCTCTGGGGACTTTACATATGCTTCTGGTGTAGGTGGAAAAAGATAAAAGGGGTGCTTGTTCAAATGGAAGAGCATTCAGAATAGCACAAAATAAAAAAGCTACTTACCTCTCCACCTCCACCACTGAGCATGCTCTAAAAGGGAAACAAAAGATAACTATTTTCATAACATTCATGAATTGTCCAACCACACCATCACTACCATCTTTAGTGTAACATGTATGAATTCCTTCATTGTCCCAATAGGGACAAAAAAGATGCATACATAATAAATCTTTTGAGAGATTTTTTTTCTTTCCCTTTTCAATATTGTTCCATATTCTCACAACCACAATATGTTTCGTGACTCACTTTTTATCGCAATGTTTAAGCAAAGCTTTTTGTAGGCTGGCTGGGCTCATTACAAGTCAGGATCACAAGACCGTGGGACACTGCAGCCATGATAAATGTGAGCCAGTTGCGAAGCACCTAAATCCCAGTCACAGTGCAACTATCATAACTTTGAGGATAGGTCATAGGTCACATTGTTCAGCATTGTCGTAACCTGGACCTATGCAGGGTTTTAAAGGTAATAACCAACTCCTTGCATTGCAACAGGAAGCAAACCAGCAGCCAGTGAAGTCCCAGATATTGAAGCTCCATGCACCCAAAGCCATTTGGTCATGCCAAGGTTCAGCCAAATCCAGTTGTTCCCCCCATCCAGGACCCCACAGCCTTCAGACACAGTGAGAGGGCAGTGCAGGCATCACTTGGATCCCCAGGGGTGGAGATATAAAGTTGAATATAATCACCATACTGATGACCCATCAAAACTCAACCCAAGATTGCAAATGACCTTCCCCAGCAGTTTTATGTAGATGTTAAAAAGGAGTGGAGAGAGTACTGAGCTCTGTGGCATGCTACAAAAGAACAGTTGTGTGCTGGACCTCTCACTCCTTATCAGCACTGATTTGGATCAGCCTTGGAGAAAGGAGCCAAGCCAGTGCAATACTGTGCTGCCCAGCCCCAAACCCTGAGGCTGGCCCAAAAGGATACCAAGGTTAATGTTATTAAAGTCTGACAAGAGGTTAAGGAGAACAAGGATGGTTGCACTGTCCCAACCCTGCTCTCACCATAGATCTGCTGTTTCTTTTCCTGGGCCTGAATATTGACTGGAAGGGATCTAGATAATCTCCAAGATCCTCTGGAGATGCCAATCAATCAGCTCTTTTACCACCTTCCTTTTTAAGTGAAGATGGGAAACTGGATGGAAATTATCCAGGCAGGTGGGATAAGGTGATGTTTTTCTAAGAAGGGAGCGAACCAGGGCCTCCTTAAAAGGCCCCAGAAATGTCCCCTCCTGCAGTGAAGAATTTATCTCTGTTTCAGTCCACCTGGCAGTCATCATCTTGGGGGTTTTCACAACCAGGCGGGTCAATGATCTAATTGACAGGTGGATGCACTAATAGCATTAAAGACCCTATCCACTTTATCGGGCCCAACAGGATCAAACTGTTCCCAGATAAATGGGCAAGATCTTCCCCTGGGCATCTCAAACAGACTGCACCATACTTGGGTTTCCAACTGGGAATGAATACTAGCAACTTTGTCCCTCAGGTAGAAGCATGCTCTAGGTACTTTAGATATACTTGTTTGTTTGTTTGTTACATATGTTTTCCTGCCCATTTTGCTTCAAAGCAAGTCTGGGCAGCTGACAGTATCAAAAAAAGGAATTAAATCATAAAGGCTAAATATTTATAAAAACAATAAAAATAGAATTACAGCCAAAAGTAAAGTTACAATTAAAAGATGGGAAGAAGCAGGATGTATGAGGGAAGAAGGGATTATTCTTTAATTCATCAACCACCTCCAGGGTGATGCTCTGCCCTTGGGAGGATCTGTAGCTGGCAGAGCCAGGTCTTCAGGCCCTTATGGAAGGTGAGAAGAGTGGGAGCCAATCTCAACTTTGGGGATAAGATCTTCCAAAGGGTAGGAGCCACAGCAGAGAAATTCATTCTCCTGGGTCCAGCCAACTGAGATTCCTTGACTGATGGGTTCTGCAGCATGCCTGTTCTGCTGGCATGGATGGGGCAGGCCAATCCCAGTGGACTGAGAGGGTTCATTAATTAACCTGGACCCATGCCATGCAGGTTTTTAAAGCTAATAAACAACTCCTCCAATTGCACCCAAAGGGGTCCAGAAATGTCCCCTCTTGAAGTGAAGAATTTATCTATGCTTGAATCCACCTGGCAGTCATCATCCTGGGGGCTTTCACAACCAGATGGGTCAATGATCTAATTGACAGGTGGGTGCACTAATAGCATTAAAGACTCTATCCCCTTCATTGGATCCAACAGGATCAAACTGTTCCCAAATAATTGGGCAAGATCTTCCCCTGGGCATATCACACGATCCTGCACCATGCTTGTGTTTCCAACTGGGAACGAATACTAGAAACTTTGTCCCTCAGGTAGAGGTATACTCTGGGTACTTTAGGTATACTTTTGGTGTAGGTGGGAAAAGATAAAAGGGGTGCTTGTTCAGATGGAAGAGCATTCAGAATAGCACAAAATGAAAAAAAAGGCTACTTACCTGTCCACCTGCACCACCCTAAAAGGGAAACAAAAGATAACTATTGTTGTAAAATTCATGACTTCTCCAACCACACCATCACTACCATCTTTAGTGTAACATATATGAATTCCTTCATTGTCCGGATATAGAATGCAGTCTTTCACACAACGTGCAGTAATAGGGACCAAAAAGATGCATATATATTAAATCTTTTGAGAGATTTTTTTTATTTCCCTTTTCAATATGGTTCATATTCTCACAACCACAATATATTTCGTGACTCACTTTTTTATCGCAATCATTAAGCAAAGCTTCCCCCATTGACTGAGAATATTTCAGCTGATCACTCAACTTTCACAGTTTTTATGGTAATTTGGTTAAAAATTCAAAAGAGTGTTTATTTGAAGATCAGCTTATCCACAAGCCTATAGAGCAATACTAACAAGAATAATAGGCTATTGTACAATGCTACTGTAATCAATGCTAGTATATTATACCAAGAAGTGGGGATGAGGTCCTTGTGAAATCCAGCCTATTATAAAACAAATAGGAGTCTTGAAATCCACAGGAGATATGATTGCAAATGGTCAAATGGTATGATGCATGGAAATTATGATGTATGAAAATGAGGTTCAATCCTGTCCTCTGGGGAGACAAGGGGCATCAGGGTATCCTTTAAATATTCCTAACAATAACTACATTCCTATTGGAATTACTCCTGGAATTTCAGGCGATGCTTCAAAGGAGTGAGTCTCAAGTGGGTGGCTGTGGTTACATGCAAAAGGAATAACAGAAAAGACTTCAAGGGAATTAGAGATGTTAAATGAATATCGACTTACTGATGTTAGGCTACTAAGTACTCCAGGTAAGTTCTGTAAGAAAGATAAAAAATAAAATCCTGGCTTTGTTATGCTGTGTGGACCCTCTCATACCTTGTTATTATGATTCATTTCATGCTTTCTGTTCTTTCAATTGTATATTTGAATGTTGTATGCAATCTAGGGCTTTTTATAGTGGATGGCCATTACATCTGAGTCATACCCAGGACACTCGCAAATAAACAGGAAATGCTCCAAAATAAATCTCCAAATTTAGATTCTGCTACTCCTGGAATACTACAACCTGTTTTGGTCTCTACATTACAAAAAAGATGTTGAGACTTTATCAAAAATGCAAAGAAGAGCAACTAAGATGATCAAAGACCTGGAGACTAAAACATATGAAGAACAGCTGCAGGACTTGGCTTTGGCCAATATTGTTCCATATTCTTAAAACCACAATATGTTTCGTGACTCACTTTTTTATCGCAATCATTAAGCAAAGCTTCCCCCATTGACTTTTCTTTTTGTAGGCTGGCTGGGCACATTGCAAGTCAGGATCACACGACTGCGGAATACTGCAGCCGTGATAAATGTGAGCCAGTTGCCAAGCACCTAAATCCCAGTCACAGTGCAACTATCATAACTTTGAGGATAGGTCATAGGTCATGTTGTTCAGCATTGTCATAACCTGGACCCATGCCATGCAGGGTTTTAAAGGTAATAACCAACTCCTTGCATTGCAACAGGAAGCAAACCAGCAGCCAGTGAAGTCCCAGATATTGAAGCTCCATGCACCTAAAGCCATTTGGTCATGCCAAGGTTCAGCCAAAACCAGATGTTCCCCCCTCCAGGACCCCACAGCCTCAAGACACAGAGAGAGGGCAGCGCAAGCATCACTTGGATCCCCAGGGGTGGAGATATAAAGTTGAATATAATCAGCATACTGATGACCCATCAACACTCAACCCATGATTGCAAATGACCTCCCCCAGCAGCTTTATATAGACCAGTGGTTCTCAACCTGTGGGTCGCGACCCCTTTGGGGTGTCGAACGACTGTTTCACAGGGGGCATCTAAGTAAGGGCTTTTCCTCCCCCCGCCGCTTCCCCCATAGCGTAGCCTTCCTCCCCCACTTCTTCACAGCTCGCTTGTTGAATACAAGCTGCTTGGCGACAGCAGCTGTTATTAAAGGCTGACGAGAGGTTAAGGAGAACAAGGATGGTTGCACTGTCCCAATCCTGCTCTCACTTCTCCAACCACACCATCACTACCATCTTTAGTGTAACATGTATGAATTCCTTCATTGTCCAGATATAGAATGCGGTCTTTCACATACCGTGCAGTAATAGGGACCAAAAAGATGCATATATATTAAATATTTTAGAGATTTTTTTCTTTCCCTTTTCAATATCGTTCCATATTCTCACAACCACAATATGTTTCATGACTCACTTTTTTATCGCAATCATGACGCAAAGCTTCCCCCATTGACTTTGCTTGTTGTATGCTGGCTGGGCACATTGCAAGTAAGGATCACACAACCGCGGGACACTGCAGCCATGATAAATGTGAGCCAGATGTCAAGCACCTAAATCCTAGTCACAGTTCAACTATCATAACTTTGAGGATAGGTCATAGGACTCCTTATTCAGCATTGTCGTAACCTGGGCCCATGCCATGCAGGGTTTTAAAGGTAACAACCAACTCCTAGCATTGCAACAGGAAGCAAACCAGAAGCCAGTGAAGTCCCACATATTGAAGCTCCATGCACCCAAAGCCATTTGGTCATGCCAAGGTTCAGCCAAAACCAGTTGTTCCCCCCTCCAGGACCCCCACAGCCTCCAGGCACAGTGAGAGGGCAGCGCAAGCATCACTTGGATCCCCAGGGGTGGAGATATAAAGTTGAATATAATCACCATACTGATGACCCATCAAAACTCAACCCAAGATTGCAAATGACCTCCCCCAGCAGCTTTATATAGACCAGCGGTTCTCTACCTGTGGGTCGCGACCCCTTTGGGCATCTAAGAAAGGGCTTTTCCTCCCCCCACTGCTTCCCCCATGGCATCGCCTTCCTCCCCCACTTCTTCACAGCTCACTTGCTTGTTGAAAAAAAAAAACTGCTTGGTGACGGCAACTGTTATTAAAGGCTGACGAGAGGTTAAGGAGAACAAGGATGGTTGCACTGTCCCAATCCTGCTCTCACCATAGATCTGCTATTTCTTCTCCTGTTTCTTTTCCTGCATTTGTCTGTTTTGGCAGTTCATATTTGGCAATTTTACATAGTCACTTACATCGTCCCTCTCTCCTATTCTTCCTCCACCTCCATCTCCTTCTACTCTCCAAGTAAGTTAGCAAATTACAGAGTGATTGCTGTATAAACAAACAATTGCCTCTGAACATCACTATCCATCGAGATTTCTTGTGCAGCTATGAGAAGCAAAGTGGTCTTTGAAATGTCAGAGAAGAATCTCATCTCAGAAGAAGACCCAAAATGGACCAGGCGATCCTGAGTCCTCATGAATGTCTTCATATAGACCGCAAGCTAGGGGAATAGTGGGGTTCCCTTGGGAAACAAAGAAGAAATTAGGAATCGGCATATCCAAAAGAGATATTCAGAGGGCAAATGGCAAGATGTGAAAAAAGAGGTGCAGGGATTTGTTACCCCAAGAAGTTTGGAAGTTTCACTCCCTCCCTATGATCCTCTAATGAATTGGGCAAGAATAACTCTCAGCTTTTTTCTCATGCTTCCAGTTTCCTGAGATTAAAATGTGTTTTTCCAACAGCCATCTCTGCCTAGCTTCCCCATGCTCATATCCATAGCTCTCTACAAACTTTATCCTTTCAACATTCCTTACAATAGTCAAATTCCTGCTAGAATTCCTGCAATATCAGATGTTTCATGGGACTGGCTCTCAAGAGGTGGCTGTGGTTATGTACACAAAGAATAACATTGCAAATATCATGAAAATAAGAAGCATTAAATGTATATTGATTCACCCCTAATAAATCCAACATTCCACCACCAGATTGGCCATTCTGCAAAAAAGGAGGAAAAAAAATCATCCAGGATTATGGATGGTTTTGAAACTATGTTGTTGTGGTTAAGGTTTTTGGCATGTTTGTGAACCTGGGCCTCTGTTGTTTGTTCAAGTAAAATGGAGCCCTTCTGGAAGGTAACTGTGGTTCAAAACAGAATAGCAGAAGCAGAAATGGAAACATGTGCTTAGGTCCATGTGTCATCAATCCTATTCAACCTGCATTGAGGACTACCTATCATAGGAAAGCAAAGGGGTCCTGAAATCTACAGGAGATGTTGTAAGATTGCATAGGGTATGATGCATGAAAATGAGGTTCAACCCTGCACTTCGGGGAGATAAGGGGCATCAACACCTCCTGAAGGTGCAAAAACAATGTTGCCCATACTATCGTATAATCACCTAAATGGTGAAATTACTTCCTTACTGACACAATTCACCACCACAAAAAAACATCATCCTCTCTCGTGTCATCTGTCACATTACCCACGTGCACATCTATGGTCAATATCTGAATTCCACCTTTTGCTGCTCAGTCCCCAGGAGGAATTTTCAACCCAATGTGGCGCTAAATCTATTTGTAAGGGGTTTGCTTGTTTGTTTATTTGTTTGTTTGTTACATATATTTGCTGCCCCTCTTGCTTCAAACCTAGTCTGGGAAGCTGACAACGTCAAAAAAGCAATTAAATCATAAAGGCTAAATATTTATAAAAACAATAAAAATAGAATTACAACCAAAAGTAAAGTTACAATTAAAAAATGGGGAAGAAGCAGGATGTGTGGCAGGAAGAAGGGATTATTCTTTAATTCATCAACCACCTCCAGGGTGATGCTCTGCCCTTGGGAGTATCTGCAGCTGGCAGAGCCAGGTCTTCAGGCCCTTATGGAAGGTTAGAAGAGCGGGAGCCAATCTCATCTTCGGGGATAAGATCTTCAAGAGGGTAGGAGCCACAGCAGAGAAATTCATTCTCCTGGGTCCGGCCAACTGAGATTCCCTGACTGATGGGTTCTGCAGCATGCCTGCTCTGCCGGCATGGATGGGGCAGGCCAATCCTAGTGGACTGAGATGCTTCATTTATTAACCTAGACCCATGCCATGCAGGTTTTTGAAAGTAATAACCAACTCCTCCAATTGCACCCGAAAGGGTCCAGAAATGTCCCCTCTTGCAGTGAAGAATTTATATCTGCTTGAATCCACCTGGCAGTCATCATCCAGAGGGCTTTCTCCAACCAGCCAGGTCACTGATCTATTTGACAGGTGGATGCACTAATAGCATTAAAGACTCTATCCATTTCATTGGGTCCAACAGGATCAAACTGTTCCCAAATAACTGGGCAAGATCTTCCCACATGTATCTCACACGGACTGCACCATGCTTGGGTTTCCAACTGGGAACAAATATTAGCAACCTCATCCATCAGGTAAGAGTATGCTCTGGGGACTTTACATATGCTTCTGGTGTAGGTGGAAAAAGATAAAAGGGGTGCTTGTTCAAATGGAAGAGCATTCAGAATAGCACAAAATAAAAAAGCTACTTACCTCTCCACCTCCACCACTGAGCATGCTCTAAAAGGGAAACAAAAGATAACTATTTTCATAACATTCATGAATTGTCCAACCACACCATCACTACCATCTTTAGTGTAACATGTATGAATTCCTTCATTGTCCCAATAGGGACCAAAAAGATGCATACATAATAAATCTTTTGAGAGATTTTTTTTCTTTCCCTTTTCAATATTGTTCCATATTCTCACAACCACAATATGTTTCGTGACTCACTTTTTATCGCAATGTTTAAGCAAAGCTTTTTGTAGGCTGGCTGGGCTCATTACAAGTCAGGATCACAAGACCGTGGGACACTGCAGCCATGATAAATGTGAGCCAGTTGCGAAGCACCTAAATCCCAGTCACAGTGCAACTATCATAACTTTGAGGATAGGTCATAGGTCACATTGTTCAGCATTGTCGTAACCTGGACCTATGCAGGGTTTTAAAGGTAATAACCAACTCCTTGCATTGCAACAGGAAGCAAACCAGCAGCCAGTGAAGTCCCAGATATTGAAGCTCCATGCACCCAAAGCCATTTGGTCATGCCAAGGTTCAGCCAAATCCAGTTGTTCCCCCCATCCAGGACCCCACAGCCTTCAGACACAGTGAGAGGGCAGTGCAGGCATCACTTGGATCCCCAGGGGTGGAGATATAAAGTTGAATATAATCACCATACTGATGACCCATCAAAACTCAACCCAAGATTGCAAATGACCTTCCCCAGCAGTTTTATGTAGATGTTAAAAAGGAGTGGAGAGAGTACTGAGCTCTGTGGCATGCTACAAAAGAACAGTTGTGTGCTGGACCTCTCACTCCTTATCAGCACTGATTTGGATCAGCCTTGGAGAAAGGAGCCAAGCCAGTGCAATACTGTGCTGCCCAGCCCCAAACCCTGAGGCTGGCCCAAAAGGATACCAAGGTTAATGTTATTAAAGTCTGACAAGAGGTTAAGGAGAACAAGGATGGTTGCACTGTCCCAACCCTGCTCTCACCATAGATCTGCTGTTTCTTTTCCTGGGCCTGAATATTGACTGGAAGGGATCTAGATAATCTCCAAGATCCTCTGGAGATGCCAATCAATCAGCTCTTTTACCACCTTCCTTTTTAAGTGAAGATGGGAAACTGGATGGAAATTATCCAGGCAGGTGGGATAAGGTGATGTTTTTCTAAGAAGGGAGCGAACCAGGGCCTCCTTAAAAGGCCCCAGAAATGTCCCCTCCTGCAGTGAAGAATTTATCTCTGTTTCAGTCCACCTGGCAGTCATCATCTTGGGGGTTTTCACAACCAGGCGGGTCAATGATCTAATTGACAGGTGGATGCACTAATAGCATTAAAGACCCTATCCACTTTATCGGGCCCAACAGGATCAAACTGTTCCCAGATAAATGGGCAAGATCTTCCCCTGGGCATCTCAAACAGACTGCACCATACTTGGGTTTCCAACTGGGAATGAATACTAGCAACTTTGTCCCTCAGGTAGAAGCATGCTCTAGGTACTTTAGATATACTTGTTTGTTTGTTTGTTACATATGTTTTCCTGCCCATTTTGCTTCAAAGCAAGTCTGGGCAGCTGACAGTATCAAAAAAAGGAATTAAATCATAAAGGCTAAATATTTATAAAAACAATAAAAATAGAATTACAGCCAAAAGTAAAGTTACAATTAAAAGATGGGAAGAAGCAGGATGTATGAGGGAAGAAGGGATTATTCTTTAATTCATCAACCACCTCCAGGGTGATGCTCTGCCCTTGGGAGGATCTGTAGCTGGCAGAGCCAGGTCTTCAGGCCCTTATGGAAGGTGAGAAGAGTGGGAGCCAATCTCAACTTTGGGGATAAGATCTTCCAAAGGGTAGGAGCCACAGCAGAGAAATTCATTCTCCTGGGTCCAGCCAACTGAGATTCCTTGACTGATGGGTTCTGCAGCATGCCTGTTCTGCTGGCATGGATGGGGCAGGCCAATCCCAGTGGACTGAGAGGGTTCATTAATTAACCTGGACCCATGCCATGCAGGTTTTTAAAGCTAATAAACAACTCCTCCAATTGCACCCAAAGGGGTCCAGAAATGTCCCCTCTTGAAGTGAAGAATTTATCTATGCTTGAATCCACCTGGCAGTCATCATCCTGGGGGCTTTCACAACCAGATGGGTCAATGATCTAATTGACAGGTGGGTGCACTAATAGCATTAAAGACTCTATCCCCTTCATTGGATCCAACAGGATCAAACTGTTCCCAAATAATTGGGCAAGATCTTCCCCTGGGCATATCACACGATCCTGCACCATGCTTGTGTTTCCAACTGGGAACGAATACTAGAAACTTTGTCCCTCAGGTAGAGGTATACTCTGGGTACTTTAGGTATACTTTTGGTGTAGGTGGGAAAAGATAAAAGGGGTGCTTGTTCAGATGGAAGAGCATTCAGAATAGCACAAAATGAAAAAAAAGGCTACTTACCTGTCCACCTGCACCACCCTAAAAGGGAAACAAAAGATAACTATTGTTGTAAAATTCATGACTTCTCCAACCACACCATCACTACCATCTTTAGTGTAACATATATGAATTCCTTCATTGTCCGGATATAGAATGCAGTCTTTCACACAACGTGCAGTAATAGGGACCAAAAAGATGCATATATATTAAATCTTTTGAGAGATTTTTTTTATTTCCCTTTTCAATATGGTTCATATTCTCACAACCACAATATATTTCGTGACTCACTTTTTTATCGCAATCATTAAGCAAAGCTTCCCCCATTGACTGAGAATATTTCAGCTGATCACTCAACTTTCACAGTTTTTATGGTAATTTGGTTAAAAATTCAAAAGAGTGTTTATTTGAAGATCAGCTTATCCACAAGCCTATAGAGCAATACTAACAAGAATAATAGGCTATTGTACAATGCTACTGTAATCAATGCTAGTATATTATACCAAGAAGTGGGGATGAGGTCCTTGTGAAATCCAGCCTATTATAAAACAAATAGGAGTCTTGAAATCCACAGGAGATATGATTGCAAATGGTCAAATGGTATGATGCATGGAAATTATGATGTATGAAAATGAGGTTCAATCCTGTCCTCTGGGGAGACAAGGGGCATCAGGGTATCCTTTAAATATTCCTAACAATAACTACATTCCTATTGGAATTACTCCTGGAATTTCAGGCGATGCTTCAAAGGAGTGAGTCTCAAGTGGGTGGCTGTGGTTACATGCAAAAGGAATAACAGAAAAGACTTCAAGGGAATTAGAGATGTTAAATGAATATCGACTTACTGATGTTAGGCTACTAAGTACTCCAGGTAAGTTCTGTAAGAAAGATAAAAAATAAAATCCTGGCTTTGTTATGCTGTGTGGACCCTCTCATACCTTGTTATTATGATTCATTTCATGCTTTCTGTTCTTTCAATTGTATATTTGAATGTTGTATGCAATCTAGGGCTTTTTATAGTGGATGGCCATTACATCTGAGTCATACCCAGGACACTCGCAAATAAACAGGAAATGCTCCAAAATAAATCTCCAAATTTAGATTCTGCTACTCCTGGAATACTACAACCTGTTTTGGTCTCTACATTACAAAAAAGATGTTGAGACTTTATCAAAAATGCAAAGAAGAGCAACTAAGATGATCAAAGACCTGGAGACTAAAACATATGAAGAACAGCTGCAGGACTTGGCTTTGGCCAATATTGTTCCATATTCTTAAAACCACAATATGTTTCGTGACTCACTTTTTTATCGCAATCATTAAGCAAAGCTTCCCCCATTGACTTTTCTTTTTGTAGGCTGGCTGGGCACATTGCAAGTCAGGATCACACGACTGCGGAATACGGCAGCCGTGATAAATGTGAGCCAGTTGCCAAGCACCTAAATCCCAGTCACAGTGCAACTATCATAACTTTGAGGATAGGTCATAGGTCATGTTGTTCAGCATTGTCATAACCTGGACCCATGCCATGCAGGGTTTTAAAGGTAATAACCAACTCCTTGCATTGCAACAGGAAGCAAACCAGCAGCCAGTGAAGTCCCAGATATTGAAGCTCCATGCACCTAAAGCCATTTGGTCATGCCAAGGTTCAGCCAAAACCAGATGTTCCCCCCTCCAGGACCCCACAGCCTCAAGACACAGAGAGAGGGCAGCGCAAGCATCACTTGGATCCCCAGGGGTGGAGATATAAAGTTGAATATAATCAGCATACTGATGACCCATCAACACTCAACCCATGATTGCAAATGACCTCCCCCAGCAGCTTTATATAGACCAGTGGTTCTCAACCTGTGGGTCGCGACCCCTTTGGGGTGTCGAACGACTGTTTCACAGGGGGCATCTAAGTAAGGGCTTTTCCTCCCCCCGCCGCTTCCCCCATAGCGTAGCCTTCCTCCCCCACTTCTTCACAGCTCGCTTGTTGAATACAAGCTGCTTGGCGACAGCAGCTGTTATTAAAGGCTGACGAGAGGTTAAGGAGAACAAGGATGGTTGCACTGTCCCAATCCTGTTCTCACCATAGATCTGCTGTTTCTTCTCCTGTTTTTTTTCCTGCATTTGTCTGTTTTGGCAGTTCATATTTGGCAATTTTACATAGTCCCTTACATCGTCCCTCTCTCCTATTCTTCCTCCACCTCCATCTCCTTCTACTCTCCAAGTAAGTTAGAAAATTACAGAGTGATTGCTGTATAAACAAACAATTGCCTCTGAACATCACTATCCATCGAGATTTCTTGTGCAGCTATGAGAAGCAAAGTGGTCTTTGAAATGTCAGAGAAGAATCTCATCTCAGAAGAAGACCCAAAATAGACCAGGCGATCCTGAGTCCTCATGAATGTCTTCATATAGACCGCAAGCTAGGGCAATAGTGGGGTTCCTTTGAGAAACAAAGAAGAAATTAAGAATCGGCATATCCAAAAGAGATATTCAGAGGGCAAATGGCAAGATGTGAAAAAAGAGGTGCAGGGATTTGTTACCCCAAGAAGTTTGGAAGTTTCACTCCCTCCCTATGATCCTCTAATGAATTGGGCAAGAATAACTCTCAGCTTTTTTCTCATGCTTCCAGTTTCCTGAGATTAAAATGTGTTTTTCCAACAGCCATCTCTGCCTAGCTTCCCCATGCTCATATCCATAGCTCTCTACAAACTTTATCCTTTCAACATTCCTTACAATAGCCAAATTCCTGCTAGAATTGTTCCTGCAATATCAGATGTTTCAGGAGACTGGCTCTCAAGAGGTGGCTGTGGTTATCTACACAAAGAATAACATTGCAAATATAATGAAAATAAGAAGCATTAAAGGTATACTGACTCACCCCTAATAAACCCAACATTCCACCACTAGATTGGCCGTCCTGCAAAAAAGGAGAAAAAAAATCATCCAGGATTATGGATGCTTTTGAAACTATGTTGTTGTGGTTAAGGTTTTTGGCATGTTTGTGAACCTGGGCCTCTGTTGTTTGTTCAAGTAAAATGGAGCCCTTCTGGAAGGTAACTGTGGTTCAAAACAGAATAGCAGAAGCAGAAATGGAAACTTGTGCTTAGGTCCATGTGTCATCAATCCTATTCAACCTGCATTGAGGACTACCTATCATAGGAAAGCAAAGGGGTCCTGAAATCCACAGGAGATGTTGTATGATTGCATAGGGTATGATGCAGGAAAATGAGGTTCAACCCTGCACTTCGGGGAGATAAGGGGCATCAACACCTCCTGAAGGTGCAAAAACAATGTTGCCCATACTATCATATAATCACCTAAATTGTGAAATTACTTCCTTACTGACACAATTCACCACCACAAAGTAACATCATCCTCTCTCGTGTCATCTGTCACATTCCCCACGTGCACATCCATGGTCAATATCTGAATTCCCCCTTTTGCTGCTCAGTCCCCAGGAGGAATTTTCAACCCAATGTGGTGCTAAATCTATTTCTAAGGGGTTTATTTATGTGTTTGTTTGTTTGTTGCATATGTTTTCCTGCCCATTTTGCTTCAAAGCAAGTCTGGGCAGCTGACAATATCAAAAAAGCAATTAAATCATAAAGGCTAAATATTTATAAAAACAATAAAAATAGAATTACAACCAAAAGTAAAGTTACAATTAAAAAATGGGGAAGAAGCAGGATGTGTGGCAGGAAGAAGGGATTATTCTTTAATTCATCAACCACCTCCAGGGTGATGCTCTGCCCTTGGGAGTATCTGCAGCTGGCAGAGCCAGGTCTTCAGGCCCTTATGGAAGGTTAGAAGAGTGGGAGCCAATCTCATCTTCGGGGATAAGATCTTCAAGAGGGTAGGAGCCACAGCAGAGAAATTCATTCTCCTGGGTCCGGCCAACTGAGATTCCCTGACTGATGGGTTCTGCAGCATGCCTGCTCTGCCGGCATGGATGGGGCAGGCCAATCCTAGTGGACTGAGATGCTTCATTTATTAACCTAGACCCATGCCATGCAGGTTTTTGAAAGTAATAACCAACTCCTCCAATTGCACCCGAAAGGGTCCAGAAATGTCCCCTCTTGCAGTGAAGAATTTATATCTGCTTGAATCCACCTGGCAGTCATCATCCAGAGGGCTTTCTCCAACCAGCCAGGTCACTGATCTATTTGACAGGTGGATGCACTAATAGCATTAAAGACTCTATCCATTTCATTGGGTCCAACAGGATCAAACTGTTCCCAAATAACTGGGCAAGATCTTCCCACATGTATCTCACACGGACTGCACCATGCTTGGGTTTCCAACTGGGAACAAATATTAGCAACCTCATCCATCAGGTAAGAGTATGCTCTGGGGACTTTACATATGCTTCTGGTGTAGGTGGAAAAAGATAAAAGGGGTGCTTGTTCAAATGGAAGAGCATTCAGAATAGCACAAAATAAAAAAGCTACTTACCTCTCCACCTCCACCACTGAGCATGCTCTAAAAGGGAAACAAAAGATAACTATTTTCATAACATTCATGAATTGTCCAACCACACCATCACTACCATCTTTAGTGTAACATGTATGAATTCCTTCATTGTCCCAATAGGGACAAAAAAGATGCATACATAATAAATCTTTTGAGAGATTTTTTTTCTTTCCCTTTTCAATATTGTTCCATATTCTCACAACCACAATATGTTTCGTGACTCACTTTTTATCGCAATGTTTAAGCAAAGCTTTTTGTAGGCTGGCTGGGCTCATTACAAGTCAGGATCACAAGACCGTGGGACACTGCAGCCATGATAAATGTGAGCCAGTTGCGAAGCACCTAAATCCCAGTCACAGTGCAACTATCATAACTTTGAGGATAGGTCATAGGTCACATTGTTCAGCATTGTCGTAACCTGGACCTATGCAGGGTTTTAAAGGTAATAACCAACTCCTTGCATTGCAACAGGAAGCAAACCAGCAGCCAGTGAAGTCCCAGATATTGAAGCTCCATGCACCCAAAGCCATTTGGTCATGCCAAGGTTCAGCCAAATCCAGTTGTTCCCCCCATCCAGGACCCCACAGCCTTCAGACACAGTGAGAGGGCAGTGCAGGCATCACTTGGATCCCCAGGGGTGGAGATATAAAGTTGAATATAATCACCATACTGATGACCCATCAAAACTCAACCCAAGATTGCAAATGACCTTCCCCAGCAGTTTTATGTAGATGTTAAAAAGGAGTGGAGAGAGTACTGAGCTCTGTGGCATGCTACAAAAGAACAGTTGTGTGCTGGATCTCTCACTCCTTATCAGCACTGATTTGGATCAGCCTTGGAGAAAGGAGCCAAGCCAGTGCAATACTGTGCTGCCCAGCCCCAAACCCTGAGGCTGGCCCAAAAGGATACCAAGGTTAATGTTATTAAAGTCTGACAAGAGGTTAAGGAGAACAAGGATGGTTGCACTGTCCCAACCCTGCTCTCACCATAGATCTGCTGTTTCTTTTCCTGGGCCTGAATATTGACTGGAAGGGATCTAGATAATCTCCAAGATCCTCTGGAGATGCCAATCAATCAGCTCTTTTACCACCTTCCTTTTTAAGTGAAGATGGGAAACTGGATGGAAATTATCCAGGCAGGTGGGATAAGGTGATGTTTTTCTAAGAAGGGAGCGAACCAGGGCCTCCTTAAAAGGCCCCAGAAATGTCCCCTCCTGCAGTGAAGAATTTATCTCTGTTTCAGTCCACCTGGCAGTCATCATCTTGGGGGTTTTCACAACCAGGCGGGTCAATGATCTAATTGACAGGTGGATGCACTAATAGCATTAAAGACCCTATCCACTTTATCGGGCCCAACAGGATCAAACTGTTCCCAGATAAATGGGCAAGATCTTCCCCTGGGCATCTCAAACAGACTGCACCATACTTGGGTTTCCAACTGGGAATGAATACTAGCAACTTTGTCCCTCAGGTAGAAGCATGCTCTAGGTACTTTAGATATACTTGTTTGTTTGTTTGTTACATATGTTTTCCTGCCCATTTTGCTTCAAAGCAAGTCTGGGCAGCTGACAGTATCAAAAAAAGGAATTAAATCATAAAGGCTAAATATTTATAAAAACAATAAAAATAGAATTACAGCCAAAAGTAAAGTTACAATTAAAAGATGGGAAGAAGCAGGATGTATGAGGGAAGAAGGGATTATTCTTTAATTCATCAACCACCTCCAGGGTGATGCTCTGCCCTTGGGAGGATCTGTAGCTGGCAGAGCCAGGTCTTCAGGCCCTTATGGAAGGTGAGAAGAGTGGGAGCCAATCTCAACTTTGGGGATAAGATCTTCCAAAGGGTAGGAGCCACAGCAGAGAAATTCATTCTCCTGGGTCCAGCCAACTGAGATTCCTTGACTGATGGGTTCTGCAGCATGCCTGTTCTGCTGGCATGGATGGGGCAGGCCAATCCCAGTGGACTGAGAGGGTTCATTAATTAACCTGGACCCATGCCATGCAGGTTTTTAAAGCTAATAAACAACTCCTCCAATTGCACCCAAAGGGGTCCAGAAATGTCCCCTCTTGAAGTGAAGAATTTATCTATGCTTGAATCCACCTGGCAGTCATCATCCTGGGGGCTTTCACAACCAGATGGGTCAATGATCTAATTGACAGGTGGGTGCACTAATAGCATTAAAGACTCTATCCCCTTCATTGGATCCAACAGGATCAAACTGTTCCCAAATAATTGGGCAAGATCTTCCCCTGGGCATATCACACGATCCTGCACCATGCTTGTGTTTCCAACTGGGAACGAATACTAGAAACTTTGTCCCTCAGGTAGAGGTATACTCTGGGTACTTTAGGTATACTTTTGGTGTAGGTGGGAAAAGATAAAAGGGGTGCTTGTTCAGATGGAAGAGCATTCAGAATAGCACAAAATGAAAAAAAAGGCTACTTACCTGTCCACCTGCACCACCCTAAAAGGGAAACAAAAGATAACTATTGTTGTAAAATTCATGACTTCTCCAACCACACCATCACTACCATCTTTAGTGTAACATATATGAATTCCTTCATTGTCCGGATATAGAATGCAGTCTTTCACACAACGTGCAGTAATAGGGACCAAAAAGATGCATATATATTAAATCTTTTGAGAGATTTTTTTTATTTCCCTTTTCAATATGGTTCATATTCTCACAACCACAATATATTTCGTGACTCACTTTTTTATCGCAATCATTAAGCAAAGCTTCCCCCATTGACTGAGAATATTTCAGCTGATCACTCAACTTTCACAGTTTTTATGGTAATTTGGTTAAAAATTCAAAAGAGTGTTTATTTGAAGATCAGCTTATCCACAAGCCTATAGAGCAATACTAACAAGAATAATAGGCTATTGTACAATGCTACTGTAATCAATGCTAGTATATTATACCAAGAAGTGGGGATGAGGTCCTTGTGAAATCCAGCCTATTATAAAACAAATAGGAGTCTTGAAATCCACAGGAGATATGATTGCAAATGGTCAAATGGTATGATGCATGGAAATTATGATGTATGAAAATGAGGTTCAATCCTGTCCTCTGGGGAGACAAGGGGCATCAGGGTATCCTTTAAATATTCCTAACAATAACTACATTCCTATTGGAATTACTCCTGGAATTTCAGGCGATGCTTCAAAGGAGTGAGTCTCAAGTGGGTGGCTGTGGTTACATGCAAAAGGAATAACAGAAAAGACTTCAAGGGAATTAGAGATGTTAAATGAATATCAACTTACTGATGTTAGGCTACTAAGTACTCCAGGTAAGTTCTGTAAGAAAGATAAAGAATAAAATCCTGGCTTTGTTATGCTGTGTGGACCCTCTCATACCTTGTTATTATGATTCATTTCATGCTTTCTGTTCTTTCAATTGTATATTTGAATGTTGTATGCAATCCAGGGCTTTTTATAGTGGATGGCTATTACATCTGAGTCATACCCAGCACACTCGCAAATAAACAGGAAATGCTCCAAAATAAATCTCCAAATTTAGATTCTGCTACTCCTGGAATACTACAACCTGTTTTGGTCTCTACATTACAAAAAAGATGTTGAGACTTTATCAAAAATGCAAAGAAGAGCAACTAAGATGATCAAAGACCTGGAGACTAAAACATATGAAGAACAGCTGCAGGACTTGGCTTTGGCCAATATTGTTCCATATTCTTAAAACCACAATATGTTTCGTGACTCACTTTTTTATCGCAATCATTAAGCAAAGCTTCCCCCATTGACTTTTCTTTTTGTAGGCTGGCTGGGCACATTGCAAGTCAGGATCACACGACTGCGGAATACGGCAGCCGTGATAAATGTGAGCCAGTTGCCAAGCACCTAAATCCCAGTCACAGTGCAACTATCATAACTTTGAGGATAGGTCATAGGTCATGTTGTTCAGCATTGTCATAACCTGGACCCATGCCATGCAGGGTTTTAAAGGTAATAACCAACTCCTTGCATTGCAACAGGAAGCAAACCAGCAGCCAGTGAAGTCCCAGATATTGAAGCTCCATGCACCTAAAGCCATTTGGTCATGCCAAGGTTCAGCCAAAACCAGATGTTCCCCCCTCCAGGACCCCACAGCCTCAAGACACAGAGAGAGGGCAGCGCAAGCATCACTTGGATCCCCAGGGGTGGAGATATAAAGTTGAATATAATCAGCATACTGATGACCCATCAACACTCAACCCATGATTGCAAATGACCTCCCCCAGCAGCTTTATATAGACCAGTGGTTCTCAACCTGTGGGTCGCGACCCCTTTGGGGTGTCGAACGACTGTTTCACAGGGGGCATCTAAGTAAGGGCTTTTCCTCCCCCCGCCGCTTCCCCCATAACATAGCCTTCCTCCCCCACTTCTTCACAGCTCGCTTGTTGAATACAAGCTGCTTGGCGACAGCAGCTGTTATTAAAGGCTGACGAGAGGTTAAGGAGAACAAGGATGGTTGCACTGTCCCAATCCTGTTCTCACCATAGATCTGCTGTTTCTTCTCCTGTTTTTTTTCCTGCATTTGTCTGTTTTGGCAGTTCATATTTGGCAATTTTACATAGTCCCTTACATCGTCCCTCTCTCCTATTCTTCCTCCACCTCCATCTCCTTCTACTCTCCAAGTAAGTTAGCAAATTACAGAGTGATTGCTGTATAAACAAACAATTGCCTCTGAACATCACTATCCATCGAGATTTCTTGTGCAGCTATGAGAAGCAAAGTAGTCTTTGAAATGTCAGAGAAGAATCTCATCTCAGAAGAAGACCCAAAATAGACCAGGCAATCCTGAGTCCTCATGAATGTCTTCATATAGACCGCAAGCTAGGGCAATAGTGGGGTTCCTTTGAGAAACAAAGAAGAAATTAAGAATCGGCATATCCAAAAGAGATATTCAGAGGGCAAATGGCAAGATGTGAAAAAAGAGCTGCAGGGATTTGTTACCCCAAGAAGTTTGGAAGTTTCACTCCCTCCCTATGATCCTCTAATGAATTGGGCAAGAATAACTCTCAGCTTCTTTCTCATGCTTCCAGTTTCCTGAGATTAAAATGTGTTTTTCCAACAGCCATCTCTGCCTAGCTTCCCCATGCTCATATCCATAGCTCTCTACAAACTTTATCCTTTCAACATTCCTTACAATAGCCAAATTCCTGCTAGAATTGTTCCTGCAATATCAGATGTTTCAGGAGACTGGCTCTCAAGAGGTGGCTGTGGTTATCTACACAAAGAATAACATTGCAAATATAATGAAAATAAGAAGCATTAAAGGTATACTGACTCACCCCTAATAAACCCAACATTCCACCACTAGATTGGCCGTCCTGCAAAAAAGGAGAAAAAAAATCATCCAGGATTATGGATGCTTTTGAAACTATGTTGTTGTGGTTAAGGTTTTTGGCATGTTTGTGAACCTGGGCCTCTGTTGTTTGTTCAAGTAAAATGGAGCCCTTCTGGAAGGTAACTGTGGTTCAAAACAGAATAGCAGAAGCAGAAATGGAAACTTGTGCTTAGGTCCATGTGTCATCAATCCTATTCAACCTGCATTGAGGACTACCTATCATAGGAAAGCAAAGGGGTCCTGAAATCCACAGGAGATGTTGTATGATTGCATAGGGTATGATGCAGGAAAATGAGGTTCAACCCTGCACTTCGGGGAGACAAGGGGCATCAACACCTCCTGAAGGTGCAAAAACAATGTTGCCCATACTATCGTATAATCACCTAAATTGTGAAATTACTTCCTTACTGACACAATTCACCACCACAAAGAAACATCATCCTATATATAGGAACGACAGTGAAGAAGGCGTAAAGAGCATGAGAACTATTACATGCATATTATCTTACCGACATGCCCATCCATCCACCATTTGATTTCTTAGAATTATGGCCCTACAAGGAGAAAAACCACCACAAAGAAACATCATCCTTTCTTGTCTCATCTGTCACATTCTCCACGTGCACATCCATGATCAATATCTGAATTCCATCTTTTGCTGCTCAGTCCCCAGGAGGAATTATCAACCCAATGTGGTGCTAAATCGATTTCTAAGGGGTTTGTTTATTTGTTTGTTTGTTTATTACATATGTTTGCTGCCCATCTTGCTTCAAGGCAAGTCTGGGCAGCTGACAACATCAAGAAAGCAATTAAATCATAAAGGCTAAATATTTATAAAAACAATAAAAATAGAATTACAGCCAAAAGTAAAGTTACAATTAAAAGATGGGGAAGAAGCAGGATGTGTGAGGGAAGAAGGGATTATTCTTTTAATTCATCAACCACCTCCAGGGTGATGCTCTGCCGTTGGGAGTATCTGTAGCTGGCAGAGCCAGGTCTTCAGGCCCTTATGGAAGGTGAGAAGACCGGGAGCCAATCTCACCTTCGGGGATAAGATCTTCCAAAGGGTAGGAGCCACAGCAGAGAAATTCATTCTCCTGGGTCTGGCCAACTGAGATTCCTTGACTGATGGGTTCTGCAGCATGCCTGTTCTGCTGGCAGGAATGGGGCAGGCCAATCCCAGTGGATTGAGAGGGTTCATTAATTAACCTGGACCCATGCCATGCAGGTTTTTAAAAGTAATAACCAACTCCTCCAAGGGCAAGATCTTTCCCCAGGCATCTCGCATGGACTGCACCATGCTTGGGTTTCCAACTGGGAACAAATACTAGCAACCTTATCCATAAGGTAGGAGTACACTCTGGGGACTTTAGATATACTTCTGGCGTAGGTGGAAAAAGATAAAAGGGGTGCTTGTTCAGATGGAAGACCATTCAGAATAGCACAAAATTAAAAAAGCCTACTTACCTGTCCACCTGCACCACCGAACAAGCCCTAAAAGGGAAACAAAAAATAACTATTGTCATAACATTCATTAATTCTCCAACCACACCATCACTACCATCTTTAGTGTAACATGTATGAATTCCTTCATTGTCCCAATATAGAATGTGTTCTTTCACACAACATGCAGTAATAGGGACCAAAAAGATGCATATATATTAAATCTTTTCAGAGATTTTTTTTCTTTCCCTTTTCAATATTGTTCCATATTCTCGCAACCACAATATGGACCTTGTTTTCTGACCCACTTTTTTATCACAATCATGAAGCAAACCGCTAGACACTTCCTATTTTCTGTTTACAACACACCCATTTTCACTCTTATTCAGGTGACTCTCAGGATACAGGTAAACCCCCAAGTGACCCGAATGTTTCTCAGAGAGCTAATAACTAGATGACTCAAAGAACATAAATCCTTCCATTCCCCACTATTCAGTTAGAACTGAAGAAGTCTCTTGGATGAGAAATGAAATGTTTTCAAGGAAAAAAACAAAAATTCAGCTGCCTTTTGGAAAAGTAAATTTGGGACAACCATGTCCTGGATGATTGGGAATCTCTATAGGCAATTGTAAAAATGAAAACTAAGAACATTTCAGCTGATCAGTCAACTTTCACAGTTTTTATGGTAATTTGGTTAAAAAATCAATTATTTGAAGATCAGCTTATCCACAAGCCCATAGAGCAATACTAACAAGAATAGTAGGCTATTGTACATTGCTACTGTAATCAATGCTAGTATATTATACCAATAAATGGGGATGAGGTCCTTGTGAAATCCAGCCTATTATAAAACAAATAGGAGTCTTGAAATCCACAGGAGATACGATTGCAAATGATATGATTCATGAAAATTATGATGCATGAAAATGAGGTTCAACCCTGCACTTCGGGGAGATAAGAGCCATCAACACCTCCTGAAGGTGCAAAAACAATGTTGCCCATACTATCGTATAATCACCTAAATTGTGAAATTACTTCCTTATTGACATAATTCACCACCACAAAGAAATGTCCTCATGCTCCTGTCATCTGTCACATTCTCCACCTGTACATCCATGGTCAATATCTGAATTCCACCTTTTGCTGCTCAGTCCGCAGGAGGAATTTTCAACCCAATGTGGCGCTAAATCTATTTCTAAGGGGTTTATTTATGTGTTTGTTTGTTTGTTTTGCTGCCCATTTTGCTTCAAAGCAAGTCTGGGCAGCTGACAATATCAACAAAGCAATTAAATCATAAAGGCTAAATATTTATAAAAACAATAAAAATAGAATTACAACCAAAAGTAAAGCTACAATTAAAAGATGGGGAAGAAGCAGAATATGTGAGGGGAAGAAGGGATTTTTCTTTTAATTCATCAACCACCTCCAGGGTGATGCTCTGCCGTTGGGAGTATCTGTAGCTGGCAGAGCCAGGTCTTCAGGCCCTTATGGAAGGTTAGAAGACCGGGAGCCAATCTCACCTTCGGGGTTAAGATCTTCCAAAGGGTAGGAGCCACAGCAAAGAAATTCATTCTCCTGGGTCCGGCCAACTGAGATTCCTTGACTGATGGGTTGTGCAGCATGCCTGTTGTGCTGGCATGGATGGGCCAGGCCAATCCCATTGGGCTGAAATGGTTCATTAATTAACCTGGACCCATGCCATGCAGATTTTTAAAGGGAATAATCAACTCCTCCAATTGCACCCAAAAGGGTTTAGAAATATCCACTCTTGCAGTGAAGAATTTATCTCTGTGTCAGAATCCAATTATATTTCATCTTTAGTTATCGACTATGGAAAACCCCATTTCTGCCTTCTCTGGATTCTGTCATACAATGAAGGGGAAAGGGAGTGAACAAAGGCATTTTATGGTCCTCACTTCCTTCGGTACAACTTCAAAGGAATTGAATGTGGATACCACCAAAAGGACTAAGTCATAACAATAAGGCCATCAGCTTTCATCTACTCCTCTCTGAAGTCTCCCTTCCACCGACAGTGAGGTAAAAGGGGGTGGAAATGTAACGCCTGGGATTGTCGCTGGAAAGATGGGGGGATGGGGCTGCTGGGGACCTCTTAAAATCTTGAACCATAGAGCTTGGGCCCTAGATCCTGTCTAGAACACCTGCTACCATTTTCTCTTAATAAAGGATGCCTGTTGGAAGAAATATTCCAAGAGTTCTGTCTTAAGATGCAAAGTGGGGTGGGTCCTTACATTAGACAGGACCTGCAGAATTAGTCCACTTGGAAGGGAAAAGGGAGAAACTTGCCTGGGGACTTTGCAAAAATTACCATGTCAGACGACCGAGCAAGGAAGGGAGAAAACTCCCCGGAAAGGGAGCCACTGCTCCGACTGAAACCCTGCCAGATGTCGGGATCTGAGAGGTCAGATTCCTCAAGAGAAGAGGTGGTGGAGACACGGGACCACAAATCTCAGTGGTCAATGGGCATTGGAAAGAAAGGTAAGTGGGAAAAGAAATCACCAAAGGTGACCCTGAGACAGGGGGCCAACCAATCAGAATGGAAGCAGGAGATGGAGAGATCCCTGCATGCAAGTGAAGAGGAAGGGAGCTGGTCACCGTACTCGGGCTGGATCCTAGAGAAAGCTATTGACCTGATGAAGAGAACTCTCAGCTCCCTAGGAGAGGAGAATTCTGAGCCCTACGGCCGCCCCAGCTCCTGGAGCCGCAAAGGGAGAGACACCGAGGAGGAAGTGGAATCTGCAGCCCCGGGGACATCTGCTGATCCAGTAGTCCCCACTCCCCGCTGAACCATAGATGGCAATCTGGATGGAAGACACTATCACCTACAACGAAGGCATCAGTCCATTCAAAGACTCCTGCTGCTGGACATGAAATTCAAAAGGGGCCAACACGCTTGGGGTTTTTCCTAACCCAAGTCCTCAGCTGCATGGAGGAATACAGGCGGGACATCCCCAGCGACAAAGCCCATATCGGATTGTGCAATCTGCCCTGGACGGCCGCAGATTGGGTGATGAACTTGCATGACTCCAATGCCCCAGAGCTCAATGACTTCAACAGTTTCATGTCCTCTCTGAGAAGGTGATTTGAGGACCCCCTGGCTCATCGCCAAGCCCACAAAAGGATAAAAACAATGAGGCAAGGCAAACGGCCAGTAGCCAAATATACGCAAGAATTCTGGGCCATTGCCAGCAAACTGAACTTATTAAAGGCTGAAGAGAGGTTAAGGAGAACAAGGATGGTTGCACCGTCCCAATCCTGCTCTCACCATAGATCATTGACAAATGCAACCTATGCTGTTTCGTTTCTTGGGCCTGAATCTTGACTGGAAGGGATCTAGATAATCTGTTTGCTCCAAGATCCTGTGGAGATGCCAATCAATCACTGATTTTACCACCTTCCTTAGAAAGAGAAAATGGGAAACTGGATGGAAATTATCCAGGCAGGTGGGATCAAGTGATGTTTTTCTAAGAAGGGAGCGAACCAGGGCCTTCTTAAATGGCCCCAGAAATGAGCCCTCCTGCAGTGAAGAATTTATCTCTGCTTCAATCCACCTGGCAGTCATCATCCTGAGTTTCAAGAGGTGGCTGTGGTTATGTACACAAGGAATAACATTGCAAATATAATGAACATGGGAAGCATTAAATGTATACTGATTCACCACTAATAAACCCAACATTCCACCACCAGATTGGCCGTTCTGCAAAAAAGGAGGGAAAAAATCATCCAGGATTATGGATGCTTTTGAAACTATGTTGTTGTGGTTAAGGTTTTTGGCATGTTTGTGAACCTGGGCCTCTGTTGTTTGTTCAAGTAAAATGGAGCCCTTCTGGAAGGTAACTGTGGTTCAAAACAGAATAGCAGAAGCAGAAATGGAAACTTGTGCTTAGGTCCATGTGTCATCACTCCTATTCAACCTGCGTTGAGGACTACCTATCATATGAAAGCAAAGGGGTCCTGAAATCCACAGGAGATGTTGTATGATTGCATAGGGTATGATGCAGGAAAATGAGGTTCAACCCTGCACTTCGGGGAGATAAGGGGCATCAACACCTCCTGAAGGTGCAAAAACAATGTTGCCCATACTATCGTATAATCACCTAAATTGTGAAATTACTTCCTTACTGACACAATTCACCACCACAAAGAAACATCATCCTTTCTCGTGTCATCTGTCACATTCCTCACGTGCACATCTATGGTCAATATCTGAATTCCACCTTTTGCTGCTCAGTCCCCAGGAGGAATTTTCAACCCAATGTGGTGCTAAATCTATTTCTAAGGCATTTATTTATGTGTTTGTTTGTTTGTTGCATATGTTTTCCTGCCCATTTTGCTTCAAAGCAAGTCTGGGCAGCTGACAATATCAAAAAAGCAATTAAATCATAAAGGCTAAATATTTATAAAAACAATAAAAATAGAATTACAGCCAAAAGTAAAGTTACAATTAAAAGATGGGGAAGAAGCAGGATGTGTGACGGGAAGAAGATATTATTCTTTAATTCATCAACCACCTCCAGGGTGATGCTCTGCCCTTGGGAGTATCTGCAGCTGGCAGAGCCAGGTCTTCAGGCCCTTATGGAAGGTGAGAAGAGTGGGAGCCAATCTCACCTTTGGGGATAAGATCTTCCAAAGGGTAGGAGCCACAACAGAGAAATTCATTCTCCTGGTTCTGGCCAACTGAGATTCCTTGACTGATGGGTTCTGCAGCATGCCTGTTCTGCTGGCATGGATGGGGCAGGCCAATCCCAGTGGACTGAGAGGGTTCATTAATTAACCTGGACCCATGCCATGCAGGTTTTTAAAAGTAATAACCAACTCCTCCAATTGCACCCAAAAGGGTCCAATAATGTTCCCTCTTGCAGTGAAGAATTTATCTCTGCTTGAATCCACCTGGCAGTCATCATCCTGGGGGCTTTCTCCAACCATCTCCTAAATATGAGCCAGCAGTGTGCTGCAACTGCCAAAAAGGCCAACACAGTGCTAGGCTGCATTAACAGAGGGATAGAATCAAGATCACATGAAGTATTAATACCACTCTTCAATGCCTTGGTAAGGCTACACTTGGAATACTGAATCCAGTTTTGGTCACCACGATGTAAAAAAGATGTTGAGACTCTAGAAAGAGTACAGAGAAGAGCAACAAAGGTGATTAGGGGACTGGAGGCTAAAACATATAAGGAACGGTTGCTAGAATTGGGTATGTCTAGTTTAACGAAGAGAAGGACAAGGGGGGATATGATAGCAATATTCCAATATCTCAGGGGCTGCCATAAAGAAGAGGGAACTAAGCTATTTTCCAAAGCACCTGAAGGCAGGACAAGGAGCAAGGGCTGGAAACTAATCAAGGAGAGAAGCAACCTAGAACTAAGGAGAAACTTCCTGACAGTGAGAACAATTAATCAGTGGAACAGCCTGCCTCCAGAAGCAGTAAATACTCCAACACTGGAAGTTTTTAAGAAGAGACTGGACAGCCATTTGTCCGAAATGGTGTAGGGTTTCCTGCCTGAGCAGGGAGTTGGACTAGATGACCTCCAAGGTCCCTTCCAACTTTACTATTACTAATGATCTAATTGACAGATGGATGCACTAATAGCATTAAAGACCCTATCCACTTCATGGTGTCCAACAGGATCAAACTGTTCCCAGATAACTGGGCAAGATATTCCCCCAGGCATCTCGCATGGACTGCACCATGCTTGGGTTTCCAACTGGGAACAAATACTAGCAACCTTGTCCATCAGGTAGGAGTATACTCTGGTGACTTCAGATATACTTCTGGTGTAGGTGGAAAAAGATAAAAGGGGTGCTTGTTCAGATGGAAGACCATTCAGAATAGCACAAAATTAAAAAAGCCTACTTACCTGTCCACCTGCACCACCGAACATGTCCTAAAAGGGAAACAAAAGATAACTATTGTCATAACTTTCGTGAATTCTCCAACCACACCATCACTACCATCTTTAGTGTAACATGTATGAATTCCTTCATTGTCCCGATATAGAATGTGTTCTTTCACATAACATGCAGTAATAGGGACCAAAAAGATGCATATATATTAAATCTTTGTGAAATCCAGCCTATTATAAAACAAATAGGAGTCTTGAAATCCACAGGAGATATGATTGCAAATGGTATGATGCATGAAAATTATGATGTAAGAAAATGAGGTTCAACCCTGTCCTCCGGGGAGACAAGGGGCATCAGTGCATCCTGAGGCTACAAAAAAGATGATTAGCAAGCTAGGGTATCATCACATAAATTCCCATCAACATTTCTTACAATATCCAAATTCCTACTAGAATTGCCTCTGGAATATCAGGAGATGTTTCTGGGTGTGAGTTTCAAGAGAGTGGCTGTGGCTATGTACAGGAACGACAGTGAAGAAGGCGTAAAGAGCATGAGAACTATTACATGCATATTAACTTATCGACATGCCCATCGATGTAGCATTTTTTTTCCTTAGGACTGAAGCCCTACAAGGAGAAAAAAAATTCCTGCATTATGGATATCTTTGTAATTCTGTTGTGGCAGTTCATATTTGGTAATTTTACATAGTCCCTCTCTTCTATTCTTCTTCCACCTCCATCTCCTTCTACTCTCCAAGTAAGTTAGAAAATGACAGAGTGATTGCCGTATAGACAGACGTCAACATCACTATCCATGGAGATTTCTTGTGCAACTAGGAGAAGCAAAATCCCAGAGAAGTGGGCAAGATATTCTCCGGGCATCTCACATGGACTGCACCATGCTTTGGTTTCCAACTGGGAACAAATACTAGCAACTTTATCCATCAGGTAGGAGTATACTCTTTAGATATACTTCTGGTGTAGGTGGAAAAAGATAAAAGGGGTGCTTGTTCAGATGGAAGAGCATTCAGAATAGCACAAAATAAAAAAGGTTACTTTCCATTCCTCCTCCACCTCCGCCCAAGCGCTTAAAGTGAAAAAAAAGATAACTACTGTCATACCACTCATGACTTCTCCAACTACACCATCACTACCATCTTTATAATAATGCACCTTGGAGGTCATCTAGTCCAACCCCCTGCTCAGGCAGGACATCCTATACCATTTTGGACAATGGCTGTCCGGTCTCTTCTTAGAAACTTCCAGTGTTGGAGCATTCACCACTTCTAGAGGCAGGTTATTCCCCTGATTAAATTTCTAACTGTCAGGAAGTTTCTCCTTAGTTCTAGGTTGATTCTCTCTTTGGTTAGTTGTAAGGACTTTGTTGTAAACAGGAGATGCAGGTAGGTGGTGTCATATCCCCTCCACTCTTTTGAGAGAGGGCTGTTTACTTTTAAGATAGATGACCTCTTTGACCCCTCTTTCAAGCCAGTGTTCCTCTCCATCCAGAATGTGAACTTTGCTGTCTTCAAAAGAGTGATCTTTCTCTTTCAGATTCAGATGGTCTGCTGAATCCTGTCCTGATGGGTTTGTTTTTCTGTGTTGTGCCATGCACTTCTGTTTTGTTTCCCCAATGTACAGATCTGCATGTGTCTGAATATGCATATATCACTGCATATATCACATTGCTTCATTTGTGTCTGGGTGTTTTATCCTTGGGGTGGACAAGCTTCTGCCTTAATGTATTCTTGGGTTTAAAGTGTGCATGTATGTTGAAAATCCTCCTGGGGTTTTCATGTATTCCTGCATCGTACAGAATGGCAGATTTCCTTCACTTGTTTTCTCCTCTTTGTCTGTTATGTAGGAGCTTCTGTTGGACACTATCTATTTCGTATTTACAACAAAGCCCTTTCAGCAGTTCCAAGTAGGTCCCATTTTCACTCTTATTCAGGTGGCTCTGAGGTTACAGGTAAGCCCCCAAGTGACCTCAATGATTCTTAGAGAGCTAATAACTAGATGACTCAAAGAACACAAATCCTTCCATTCCCCACCACTCACTTAGAACTGAAGAAGCTTCATGAATGAGAAATGAAATGTGTTCAAGGAAAAAAATCAAAAAGGCCAGTTGCTGTTTAGAAAAGCACATTTGGGACAACCATGACCTGGATGATTGGGAATCTCCATAGGCAATTGTGAAAATGAAAAGTAAGAACCTGAAATAAGAACCTTTCAGCTGATCACAGTTTTTATGGTAATTTGGTTAAAAATTCAAGATTCAGTTTATAAGATCAGCTTATCCACAAGCCTATAGAGCAATAATAATAAGAACAATAGGCTATTGTACATTGCTACTATAATCAATGCTAGTATATTATACCAATAATGGGGATGAGGTCCTTGTGAAATCCAGCCTATTATAAAACAGATAGGAGTCTTGAAATCCACAGGAGATATGATTGCAAATGGTATGATGCATGAAAATTATGATGTATGAAAATGAGGTTCAACCCTGTCCTCCGGGGAGACAAGGGGCATCAGTACATCCTGAGGCTACAAAAAAGATGATAAGCATGCTATGATATCATCACATAAATTCCCATCAACATTTCTTACAATATCCAAATTCCTACTAGAATTGCCTCTGGAATATCAGGAGATGTTTCTGGGTGTGAGTGTCAAGAGAGTGGCTGTGTCTATATACAAGAACGACAGTGAAGAAGGCATAAAGAACATGACAACTATTACATGCATATTATCTTACCGACATGCCCATCCGTCCACTATTTGGTTTCTTAAAATTGAGGCCCTACAAGGAGAAAAAAAATTCCTGCATTATGGATATCTTTGCAATTCTGTTTTGGCAGTTCATATTTGGCAATTTTACATAGTCCCTCTCTCCCATTCTTCCTCCACCTCCATCTCCTTCTACTCTCCAAGTAAGTTAGAAAATGACAGAGTGATTGCCATATACACAAACTGCAACATCACTATCCATTAAAGTTTCTTGTGCAACCTTGAACTTCGGGGAGACAAGAGGCATCAATACCTCCTGAAGGTACAAAAACAATGTTGCCCATACTATCGTATAATCACCTAAATTGTGAAATTACTTCCTTACTGACACAATTCACCACCACAAAGAAACATCATCCTATATATAGGAACGACAGTGAAGAAGGCGTAAAGAGCATGAGAACTATTACATGCATATTATCTTACCGACATGCCCATCCATCCACCATTTGATTTCTTAGAATTATGGCCCTACAAGGAGAAAAACCACCACAAAGAAACATCATCCTTTCTTGTGTCATCTGTCACATTCTCCACGTGCACATCCATGATCAATATCTGAATTCCATCTTTTGCTGCTCAGTCCCCAGGAGGAATTATCAACCCAATGTGGTGCTAAATCGATTTCTAAGGGGTTTGTTTATTTGTTTGTTTGTTTATTACATATGTTTGCTGCCCATCTTGCTTCAAGGCAAGTCTGGGCAGCTGACAACATCAAGAAAGCAATTAAATCATAAAGGCTAAATATTTATAAAAACAATAAAAATAGAATTACAGCCAAAAGTAAAGTTACAATTAAAAGATGGGGAAGAAGCAGGATGTGTGAGGGAAGAAGGGATTATTCTTTTAATTCATCAACCACCTCCAGGGTGATGCTCTGCCGTTGGGAGTATCTGTAGCTGGCAGAGCCAGGTCTTCAGGCCCTTATGGAAGGTGAGAAGACCGGGAGCCAATCTCACCTTCGGGGATAAGATCTTCCAAAGGGTAGGAGCCACAGCAGAGAAATTCATTCTCCTGGGTCTGGCCAACTGAGATTCCTTGACTGATGGGTTCTGCAGCATGCCTGTTCTGCTGGCAGGAATGGGGCAGGCCAATCCCAGTGGATTGAGAGGGTTCATTAATTAACCTGGACCCATGCCATGCAGGTTTTTAAAAGTAATAACCAACTCCTCCAAGGGCAAGATCTTTCCCCAGACATCTCGCATGGACTGCACCATGCTTGGGTTTCCAACTGGGAACAAATACTAGCAACCTTATCCATAAGGTAGGAGTACACTCTGGGGACTTTAGATATACTTCTGGCGTAGGTGGAAAAAGATAAAAGGGGTGCTTGTTCAGATGGAAGACCATTCAGAATAGCACAAAATTAAAAAAGCCTACTTACCTGTCCACCTGCACCACCGAACAAGCCCTAAAAGGGAAACAAAAAATAACTATTGTCGTAACATTCATTAATTCTCCAACCACACCATCACTACCATCTTTAGTGTAACATGTATGAATTCCTTCATTGTCCCAATATAGAATGTGTTCTTTCACACAACATGCAGTAATAGGGACCAAAAAGATGCATATATATTAAATCTTTTCAGAGATTTTTTTTCTTTCCCTTTTCAATATTGTTCCATATTCTCGCAACCACAATATGGACCTTGTTTTCTGACCCACTTTTTTATCACAATCATGAAGCAAACCGCTAGACACTTCCTATTTTCTGTTTACAACACACCCATTTTCACTCTTATTCAGGTGACTCTCAGGATACAGGTAAACCCCCAAGTGATCCCAATGATTCTCAGAGAGCTAATAACTAGATGACTCAAAGAACATAAATCCTTCCATTCCCCACTATTCAGTTAGAACTAAGCTTCTTGGGTGAGAAATGAAATGTTTTCAAGGAAAAAACCAAAAAAAATCAGTTGCCTTTTGGAAAAGCACATTTGGGACAACCATGTCCTGGATGATTGGGAATCTCTATAGGAAATTGTAAAAATGAAAACTAAGAACAATTCAGCTGATCACTCAACTTTCACAGTTTTTATGGTAATTTGGTTAAAAATTCAATTATTTGAAGATCAGCTTATCCACAAGCCTATAGAGCAATACTAACAAGAATAATAGGCTATTGTACATTGCTACTGTAATCAATGCTAGTATATTATACCAATAATGGGGATGAGGTCCTTGTGAAATCCAGCCTATTATAAAACAAATAGGAGTCTTGAAATCCACAGGAGATATGATTGCAAATGGTATGATGCATGAAAATTATGATGTAAGAAAATGAGGTTCAACCCTGTCCTCTGGGGAGACAAGGGGCATCAATACATCCTGAGGCTACAAAAAAGATGATTAGCATGCTATGGTATCATCACATAAATTCCCATCAACATTTCTTACAATATCCAAATTCCTACTAGAATTGCCTCTGGAATATCAGGAAAAATTTTTCTGGGTGTGAGTTTCAAGAGAGTGGCTGTGCCTATATACAGGAATGATAGTGAAGAAGGCGTAAAGAGCATGAGAATTATTACATGCATATTAACTTATCAAGATGCCCATCGATCTAGCCTTTTGTTTCTTAGGACTAAAGCCCTACAAGGAGAAAAATAATTCCTGCATTATGGATATCTTTGTAATTCTGTTGTGACAGTTCATATTTGGCAATTTTACATAGTCCCTTTCTCCTATTCTTCCTCCACCTCCATCTCCTTCTACTCTCCAAGTAAGTTAGAAAATGACAGAGTAATTGCTGTATACATATACTTCAACGTCACTATCCATCGAGATTTCTTGTGCAACTATGAGAAGCAAAGTGATCTTTGAAATCCCAGAGAAGTAGCTCATGTCAGTTTCAAATTCCTTCAAGAATCTCAGGTTCAAATATTTGCTAGTCAGAAAAAGGCCCCCAAAGGCCCTAGGCCATCCTCGGTCTTATTCCATGTCTTCATATGGACCTCATGCTAGAACAATAATGGAATTCTCTTGGGGGAAATAAAAAAGTCAATATGAGCCTGGAGAGCAACAGGGGATATTCACAGGTCAAACAGTATCATGGAAAACAATAAGATGCAAGGCTGTGGTATGCCAATGAAAACCTGACTGGGTTTTCCCCTCTTTCCCTGTGATCCTCTATTGAATGAGGCAGGAATTACTCTTAACTTCTTTCTCAGGATATCTTTATTTTCAAGGCTTAAAATATATATTTTCAAAGCATCTTCTCAGCCTAATTTCTCCAGGGCCATGTCCATAGCTCTTTACAAGGTTTTCCTTTAACTATTCCTAATAATATCCACATTCCTATTGGAATTACTCCTGGAATTTCAGGCGATGCTTCAGAGGAGTGAGTCTCAGGAGGATGGCTGTGGTTACATGCAAAAGTAATAACAGAAAAGTCTTCAAGGAAATGAAAGACATTAAATGAATATTAACTTACTGATAGAGGTCCACCAAAACGGTTCTGCAAGAAAGATAAAAAACAAAATCCTGATTTTGCCTGGCTTTGTTATGCTGTGTGGACCCTCTCATACCTTATTATTATGATTCATTTCATATTTTCAGTTCTTTCAATTGTATATTTGAATATTCTATGCTATTGCTTTTTGTAGTGGATGACCATCACATCTCAGTCATACCTGGCACACTTGCAAATAAGCAGGAAATGCTCCAAAATAAATCCCCAAATTTGGATTCTGCTACTCCTGGAATACTACATCCAGTTTTGGTCTCTACATTACAAAAAAGATATTGAGACTTTAGAAAAAAATGCAGAGAAGAAAAACTAAGATGATCAAAGGCCTGGAGACTAAAACATATGAAGAATGGCTGCAGGACTTAGGTTTGGCTAGTCTAAACAAAAGGAGAAACAAGGATGACACGATAGCAGTGTTTCAGTATTTGAGGGGCTGCCACAAAGAAGAGGGTGTCAAACTATTCTCCAAAGCACCAGAGGGCAGAACAAGAAACAATGGTTGGAAACTGACCAAAGAGAAAGCAACCTAGTACTAAGAAGAAACTTCCTAACAGTGAGGACAATCAACCAGTGGAACAGCTTGCCTTCAGAAATCATGGGCATTCCATCACTGGAGGTTTTTAAGAAAAGACTAGACAGTCACTTGTCTAAAATGGTGTAGGGTCTCCTGCTAGGGAAGGGAGCTTGACTATAAGACCTCCAAGGTCCCTTCCAGCTGTTTTCTATTCTGTACTTCGTCCACCTCCATCTCCTTCTACTCTGAGTAAGTGAGAAAATGACAAGAAAGCCATTGTTTTATATATAGATTTTGCTGTCCATTTCAATCTCTTTTACGTGATTTCTTGTGCAGCTATAAGAATCAAGGTGATTCTTTTAAATCCTGAAGTAGAATATCTTATCTTCTTCACGTTTCCTCAAGAATCTCAAATCAAATTCAGGTACTTGCTGGTCAGAAGAAGACCCAAAATGGACCCAGGAGATCCTGAGTCCTAATGCATGTCTTCATATAGACCACAGGCTAGGGGAATAGTGGGGTTCCCTTCCGAAACAAAGAAGAAATAAAGAATCTGCATATCCACAAGGGATATTCAGAGGGCAAATGGCAAGATGTGAAAAAAATGGAGTCCTTCTCGAAGGTAACTGTGGTTCAAAACACAGTAGCAGAAGCAGAAATGGAAACTTGTGTTTAGGTCCATGTGTTGTCATTGCTATGCAATCTGCATTGAGGACTACCTATCATATGAAAGCAAAGGGATCCTGAAATCTACAGGGAGATGTATGATTGCATAGGGCAGACATGTCAAACACAAGGCCCCCGGGCCAGATGCGCCCTGGGGAGGGCCCAGATTTGGCCCCCCGGGCTGTCCCAGAAATGGCAAGGGACCGCCCCTCCACTCCCCCAGCCCTGGCCCACCTCAACTCAGCTGGGTGCCTTGGAGCACGTGCAGGAAACAGCTAGCGCTCAGGGGCTGGTGGTGTGCAGGAGCAGCTCATTTGCTTTAGCTTGCCCTCCCCTCCCAGCTTAACCTGGCCAGGCCCGGTCAGGAGTGGAAGAGGAGGAGGAGGAGGAATCTTCCCCCATTTTTCCACCCCTTCTCTTTTTTTTAACTTCCTCCCACTCCATTCAGGTGCAGCTGAGGAAAAAGACGAGGAGGAGAAAACAGGAAGGGTGTGTTTGTGTGTGTGTGTGTGTGTGTGTGTAAGAGAGACAGAGACACAGAGAGAGCAAGTAGGGGAGGAGGAAGCCGAGGTTTTACAAAAAAGGAGAGCTTCCACCTCTCTCCCCCCCTCCTCTTTTTTATTAACCTGTCTCTGTGTGTGGTGTTTATGTGTGTGTGTGTGTGTGTGTGAGAGAGAGAGAGAGAGAGAGAGAGATTGAGCCAGCAGGGAGTTGCAGAGTAAGCAAACTTACAAAAAGGGGATCTCTCTCTCTCTGTCTCTCATACACATACATTTGTTTCTTCTGCCTAATTTATTAAATCAACATCTAATTTAAAATTAAAAGTTTCTGAGAAATCCAGGGTGGTTTACAAGAAAACTCTCAAAGACAGCTATTGTAAAGCATCACTAGCACTGCTTAAAACAATATTAAAAGTATGTATTTTAAGAAAGAAAAATAGTAGTAGTAATTTACTTAGTGCTGTTTGGTCATAAAATGTGTTGTTGTTTTACATATACCTGGCTGAACAGTGTGTTTGGAGTTGCCTCTAAATGGGTGAGGGTTGCACTGTTTGTATTTTCCTTGGGAGAAAGTTTTATAATGGGGGTGCTGTCTCTGAGAAGGCTCTGCTTGTGGCCACTGTTCTATAAACCAAACCAGGGGGACCATCTGGTCTAAATGGATGGTAAACATAGATGATTAGGGGGCTGGAGGCTAAAACATATGACAAAAGTTTGTGGGAATTGAGTATGTCTAGCTTAGTGAAAAGAACTAGGTGTAGTGACATGATAGCAGTGTTCCAATATTTGATGGGCTGCCACAGAGAAGAAGGGATCAACCTATTTTCCAAAGCATCAGAAGGCAAATACAGTAATAGATGGAAACTAATCAAGAAGAAAACCAGCCTAGAACTAAGGACTTGTGAAAACAACTAACCAGTGAAAAGGCTTGCCTTCAGAAATTGTGGATGCTCCATCACTGGAGGCTTTTAAGTAGAGACTGGATATTCCATTGTCTGGAATGGTATATGTCCCTTGCATGAGCAGGAGCTTGGACTAAAGACCTCAACGGTCTCTTCCAACTTTTATTCTTTGAGAGAAGGGCTGCCAACCTCTCCCCCTCTCCTCGTCCCCTCCTGGGCACAGAGAGAAGGAGGGAGGGGAGGAGGGGAGGGAAACAGGAAGAAAGTTAGGGAAAGAAGGAAGGAGATGGGACTGAAAAGGAGGGAGGCAGGGAAGAAGGGGAGGGAGGGAGAAAACAAGGAAGGAAGGAAGGAAATTAAATAAATAAATAAATAAATAAATAAATAAATAAATAAACAAAATTTACATGACACCCAAAGACCAGGTCCCACACACATAATCCCCAAACACAGGAAGGAAGGAAGGAAGGAAGGAAGGAAGGAAGGAAGGAAGGAAGGAAGGAAGGAAGGAAAAAGGGAAGGAAGGAAAAAGAGAAGGAGGGACGGAGGGAGGAAGGAGGGAGGAAGGAAGGAAGGAAATAAAATAAATAAATAAATAAACTTTATTGTCATTGTGTGTGTATACACAGTATACACATACAACGAAATTTACATGACACCCAAAGACCAGGTCTCACACACATAATCCCCAAACACAGGAAGGAAGGAAGGAAGGAAGGAAGGAAGGAAGGAAGGAAGGAAGGAAGGAAGGAAGGAAGGAAGGAAGGAAGGAAGGAAAAAGGGAAGGAAGGAAAAAGAGAAGGAGGGACAGAGGGAGGAAGGAGGGAGGAAGGAAGGAAGGAAATAAAATAAATAAATAAATAAACTTTATTGTCATTGTGTGTGTATACACAGTATACACATACAACGAAATTTACATGACACCCAAAGACCAGGTCCCACACACATAATCCCCAAACACAGGAAGGAAGGAAGGAAGGAAGGAAGGAAGGAAGGAAGGAAGGAAGGAAGGAAGGAAGGAGGGAGGGAGGGAGGGAGGGAGAGAGGAAGGAAGGAAGGAAGGAAGGAAGGAAGGAAGGAAGGAAGGAAGGAAGGAAGGAGATTGCAATAAGAGGGAGGGAGGGAGGGTCTGAGGGAAGTCCTGCTTTAGCACTTGGCCACCAGCAGCCCTGTTGCCCTTTTGCCATTCCCTGGTGGTCTCCCATCCTATTGCTGAGGATGCTTTGGTTACGAAGCCAGGTTTCCTTGCATGGAGAGGGAGTGGGCCTCCCTTTGTCCTCCTGCACCCACCATGAGCAACCTGGCCAAGGAGAGTGAGCATAGCAGAAACAGCATTGAGGAGGAGGTAAGTGCAGCTGGGCGCCCCCTTGGGGAAGTGTGGCTAGACTAGGCAGGGCTGTGGCGTCCTGATGCCGTGGGACCTCAAAAGCCTGGCTGGGCACTTGATCTCTGCTGCCCAGGGCTCTGGGCAGTGCATGCCACTGTCCAGGGGCCCTGGCACAGCCTGAGGCTCAGTGAGCCTCCTCCAGTGGACCATGCCCTGGCGCTCGCCCCGTGTCCCTCCCACCCACCCTTCCCCATCCTCGGATGCGCCTCATTCCTGCCCAGGTCCACAGAGGTGCCCCTGACATGAGTGACATGGAGCTGGCCACACCCACCCAGTGGGCCACGCCCATGCCAGACACACCCACCCGGCCCCCCAGTGGCAACCACAATGCTGATGCAGCCCTCAATAAAATTGAGTTTGACACCCCTGGGTATGATGTATGGAAATGAGGTTCAACCCTGCACTTCGGTGGGATAAGGGGCATCAACACCTCCTGAAGGTGCAAAACAATGTTGCCCATACTATCGTATAATCACCTAAATTGTGAAATTGCTTCCTTACTGACACAATTCACCAGCACAAAGAAATATCATCCTTTCTCATGTCATCTGTCACATTCCCCACGTGCACATCCATGGTCAATATCTGAATTCCATCTTTTGCTGCTCAGTTCCCAGGAGGAATTTTCAACCCAATGTGGCGCTAAATCTATTTCTAAGGGGTTTGTTTATTTGTTTGTTTATTACATATGTTAGCTGCCCATCTTGCTTCAAGGCAAGTCTGGGCAGCTGACAATATCAAAAAAGCAATTAAATAATAAAGGCTAAATATTTATAAAAACAATAAAAATAGAATTACAATCAAAAGTAAAGTTACAATTAAAAGATGGGGAAGAAGCAGGATGTGTGAGGGGAAGAAGGGATTATTCTTTTAATTCATCAACCACCTCCAGGTGATGCTCTGTCATTGGGAGGATCTGTGGTCTTCAGGCCCTTATGGAAGGTTAGAAGAGCGGAAGCCAATCTCATCTTTGGGCATAAGATCTTCAAGGGGGCAGAAGCCACAGCAGAAAAATTCATTTTCATGGGTCCAGCCAACTGAGATTCCTTGACTGATGGGTTCTGCAGCATGCCTGCTGTGCCGGCATGGATGGGGCAGGCCAATCCCAGTGGACTGAGAGGGTTCATTAATTAACCTGGACCCATGCCATACAGGTTTTTAAAGGTAATAACCAACTCCTCCAATTGCACCCGAAAGGGTCCAGAAATGACCCCTCTTGCAGTGAAGAATTTATCTCTGCTTGAATCCAGCTGGCATTCATCATCCTGAGGGCTTTCTCCAACCAACCGGGTCAATGATCTATTTGACAGGTGGATGCACTAATAGCATTAAAGACTCTATCTACTTCATTGGGTCCAACAGGATCAAACTGTTCCCAGATAACTGGGCAAGATATTCCCCCGGGCATCTCACACGGACCTGCACCATGCTTGGGTTTCCAACTGGGAACAAATACTAGCAACCTTGTCCATCAGCTAGGAGTATACTCTGGGGACTTTAGATATACTTCTGGTGTAGGTGGAAAAAGATAAAAGGGGTGCTTGTTCAGATGGAAGAGCATTCAGAATAGCACAAAATTTAAAAAACGCTACTTACCAGTCCATCTCCACCTCCACCACCCTAAAAGGGAAACAAAAGGTAACTATTTTTGTAAAATTCATGACTTCTCCAACCACACCCGCACTACCATATTTAGTGTAACATGTATGAATTCCTTCATTATCCAGATATAGAATGTGTTCTTTCATACAACATGCAGTAATAGGCACCAAAAAGATGCATACATATTAAATCTTTTGAGAGATTTTTTTTCTTTCCCTTTTCAATGTTGTTCCATATTCTCACAACCACAATATGTTTCGTGACTCACTTTTTTATCGCAATCTTTAAGCAAAGCTTCCCCCATTGACTTTGCTTGTTGTATGCTGGCTGGCACATTGCAAGTCAGGATCACATGACCACGGGACACTGCAGCCGTGATAAATGGGAGTCAGTTGCCAAGCACCTAAATCCCAGTAACAGTCCAACTATCATAAATTTGAGGATAGGTCATAGGTCACGTTATTCAGCATTGTCCTAACCTGGACCCATGCCATGCAGGGTTTTAAAGGTAATAACCAACTCCTTGCATTGCAACAGGAAGCAAACCAGCAGCCAGTGAAGTCCCAGATATTGAAGCTCCATGCACCCAAAGCCATTTGGTTATGCCAAGGTTCAGCCAAATCCAGTTGTTCCCCCCATCCAGGACCCCACAGCCTCCAGGCACAGTGAGAGGGCAGCGGAAGCATCACTTGGATCACCAAAAGTAGAGATATAAAGTTGAATATAATCAGCGTACTGATGACCCATCAACACTCAACCCATGGTGGGAAATGACCTCCCTCAGCAGTTTTATGTAGATGTTAAAAAGGAGTGGAGAGAGTACTGAGCTATGTGGCATGCCACAAAAGAACAGTTGTGTGCTGGACCTCTCACTCCCTATCAGCACTGATTTGGATCAGCCTTGGAGAAAGGAACCAAGCCAGTGCAATACTGTGCTGCCCAGTCCCAAACCCTGAGGCTGGCCCAAAAGGATACCAAGGTTAATGTTATTAAAGGCTGACGAGAGGTTAAGGAGAACAAGGATGGTTGCCCTATCCCAATCCTGCTCTCACCATAGATCTGCTTTTTCTTTTCCTGAGCCTGAATCTTGACTGGAAGGGATCTAGATATTCTCCAAGATCCTCTGGAGATGCCAATCAATCATCTTTTTTACCATTTTCCTTAGAAAGGGAAGATCGGAAACTGGATGGAAATTATCCAGGCAGGTGGGATCAAATGATGTTTTTCTAAGAAGGGAGCAAACCAGGGCCTCCTTAAAAGGCCCCAGAAATGTCCCCTCCTTCAGTGAAGAATTTATCTCTGCTTCAATCATCCTGTTCATAACAGTGCAATGTTCACAACCAGGCAGGTCAATGATATAATTGACAGGTGGATGCACTAATAGCATTAAAGATCCTGTCCACTTCATTGGGTCCAACAGGACTGTTCCCAAATAACTGGGCAAGATCTTCCCCCGGGCATCTCACACGGACCTGCACCATGCTTGGGTTTCCAACTGGGAACGTATACTAGCAACTTTGCCCCTCAAGTAGAAGCATGCTCTGGGTACTTTAGATATACTTTTGGTGTATATCTAAAGATATACACCAAAAGATAAAAGGGGAGCTTGTTCAAATGGAAGAGCACTCAGAATAGCACAAAATTTCAAAAAGGCTACTTACCAGTCCACCTTCATCATCCTAAAAGGGAAACAAAATATAACTATTGTTGTAAAATTCATGTCTTTTCTAACCACACCATCACTACCATCTTTAGTGTAACATATATGAATTCCTTCATTGTCCGGATATAGAATGTGTTCTTTCACACAACATGCAGTAATAGGGACCAAAGAGATGCAAATATATTAAATGTTTTGAGATTTTCTTTTCTCTCCCTTTTCAATGTTGTTCCATATTTTCACAACAACAGTGCAATGTTCATAACTTTGAGGATAGGTCATAGGTCACTTTTTCAGCACTGTTGTAGCTTCAAACTATCATTAAACAAATGGTCATAAATGTGTCAAACAGATGTCAAGGTATAGATGGATAGAATATCTCTCTCCTCTAACAACTTGAGATTTCTCTTTTCTGTGCAAGTGAAATGATCAGCCTATTATTGGCCAGGTATCAATGAAAACTAAGATAACTCCTTCTTTCCCCCAAGTCTCCTTCAGCTTCTTTCTTTTTTTAAAAAAAAATGGGCCAAACCAATTAATTTTGGATATGAAGCACTGGGGAAAATGAATCTGGTAGCTATTGAGAATTTGCCACATGCTACTCCTAACTCCACCTGTACCAATTAGTCCACTGCAGAATAAAAACCACAAGAAGGTATCTAGCCTCCTCCAATACTTCAGCCCTTCTTCTAAGCATTGCCTCAAAGTTTTTGTTGAAGTAACCAGGTAAATATATAAAGTTTTGGGTGATTCCAATAAGTCTTCATACAATAGGTGAATTAAATATCAAATATTAAGCTTCCTCAGATGTTTACATGTCATAAAAGCATATATATCATGCATCTTAGGTGCCAGTGAACCTGTGAATTTTCCTCTAACCATTAGTTTTATTCCCCTCAAACTCTTCTCACACTTTTCATACTTACTAATATTTTTAACACCCCCCCCCCAAAAAAAAAACATTTAGCCTTCTTTATTGGACCAACTCAGTAGGTCCAGCAAGAGGTTATTTCTGACTCTAGTGCTAAAGGGAATGCTGAGAAAGCCAAGGCAGAGAACAGGGTGCCAACCTGAACTCAGAACCACTGATACAGTTGAATTCCCAATGATTAAATAATTAAGTACTCAAAGCCCTCTGTCTGATTTTGGAATCCCTTCATGAAGAAATGCATTAATTAAAGAACGAGGACGAGCTCAACAAAATGCTTCCTTATTTCATCTGCAGGCACCCAACTGAAAGGCTCTTGCAACCCACAAAATGTAGCCTTACCTGCTGGGCAGAAAGTGTAAAAGTCAACGCAAAGATTAAAAGGAGAAGCATCTTCTTGCAGCTCTTCAGCTCTTCTGGTCCTTGGTTTTCTGCTAAGTGACTTTACTCAGCTCCACTGCCACATTTTAATACCTCAATCTGCAGGCTTTGTTGCCCAAACCCAATTCCTCTATTGTTTCTTGATTTACAAGGAAATGTTAGGCTTCCATTGCATCATGCACAATTATTCCATCATCCATGATCAAACTGAAGCTAAAGGGCAGAGGTTGTGTAAAGGTCTAACATCGTAGAAGAACTACGCAAATGGGCCTCTTTCTCTAAGGTCTACCAGAGCTGAGCTTTCATACATCCAGATGACCACTTTAATGGCAGCACAGAATTAACAAGAGAATAACATGAGTTGAAAGGGACCTTGGAGGTCTTGTAGTCCAACGCCCTGCTCAGGCAGGAGCCCCTGTGCCATTTCAGAATTGGAATTGCTCCAGAGAGCGTCCAATCTTTAAATTAGATCTTTAAGTATTCTGTATTTTAGAGTAGGCATTCTTGCTGCTGGCAACATAAACAGAGAGTCCTCTCTCTTCCTTTAATTGACGCCTGAAAACATGCCTCTTTCATTGTCCATTTGCAGGGTAAAATCTTCTCCAGCAGCTGCTCGCTTTTCAGACTTCTTTTTTTTAAAAAAAACCCTTCCTCTTCATTTTTGCACTGATATTATTTGTTGGTTTGTTTAGATTGGTAATTTACTTGTTGATTGTTTCATTTCTTAATTATTTTACCTGTCAGATTTAGGTCCAAGGTATCTAACAGATCCTATTATTTTTCCATACAAAATTCTGCTGAGCGATTGAGCCAAAGCCACTGATGGAAACTACATGGTTAAAAGTGCCCCATAACCTATAGCTGTCTGACCCTAGTCCAACATTTAACATCTCGCCCTATTATTTTTATAAGATTGTTTTTATTGGATCTTGAGTGTAGTACTGGTTCTGAGGAGAATGAGATAGAAATAATTAACCAGCATGGAATTGTGGTTGATCATTTTAATTAAATGTTTTGCCCCACTGAGATGACTCTATGCTTAGAAAGCATTGGAGGAGAATCAGCTTCTTCAAGCGGTAAATTCAGTACAAAAAAAGAAAGAAAAATATGCCAGGCATATCTAATCTTTCTATCTGTATCTTCTGGCTAGGAATCAGAAGAAAATGTTCCCTCAGAATTATCTACAGAAAATGATAAGAATAAGAATAGTTACATTGATCACCAGCAGGCACATCATGACCAGATTCATCCTATTTTTGATTCTTCACACATATGGTAGCCAGATATTATTTCATGGGGTTGAAACCTGAATTAGGAATTGATCCCATGCACAACTGCATTTTAGACCACTATATACCATACATTAATACCACTTTACAAGGCCTTGGTAAGGCCACACTTGGAATACTGCATCCAGTTTTGGTCACCACGATGTAAAAAAGATGTTGAGACTCTAGAAAGAGTACAGAGAAGAGCAACAAAGATGATTAGGAAACTGGAGGCTAAAACTAGTGCTTTTTTTCTAAAAAAAAAAAAAAAGTACCGGAACTCACACATATCATACAACCTGCCTTGCTTATCCTACATGGTTCCATCCAAAAAAGGTGCCGGAACTCTGTTCTGGGTGTTCTATGAGAAAAAAATAATAGTTTAATAATAATAATAATAGTTTCTAGTTTAACAAAGAGAAGGACGAGGGGGGACATGATAGCAGTGTTCCAATATACTCAGGAGCTGCCCCAAAGAAGAGGGAGTTCAGCTATTCTCCAAAGTGCCTGAAGGCAGGACAGGAAGCAATGGATGGAAAGTAATCAAGGAGAGAAGCAACCTAGAACTATGGAAAACTTCCTGACAGTTAGAACAATTAACCAGTGGAGCAACCTGCCTCCAGAAGCTGTGAATGCTCCATCACTGGAAGTTTTTAAGAAGAGACTGGACAGCCATTTGTCTGAAATGGTATAGGGTTTCCTGCCTGAGCAGGGGGTTGGACTAGATAACCTCCAAGGTCCCTTCCAACTGTATTATTATTATTGTTATTATTATTGTTGTTGTTGTTGTTATATTTTATATCTCTATATACATAAAACAGGATAGTCAGGCAAACAGGAACATCATGAGGTAAATTAAAGAGCACACAGGGCCTATAGAAGGAAAAGGCGGGAAAAAAGGGAAACTCCTCCTCCACACCCACAGCAACCAATCACAGTGCAGATTGCCTCACCCAGGAGCCAGCGCTCTTCAACCCATCAACCTTTTTGAATATCATCTGGCTCCTATATCTGAAAAGTCCAAAATAGGATGAAGCCAATCGCATAGTCAGTCCTCCTAGTAGTTAAGGTAACAAAAACAGGATATGCAATGTCTAAAAATAAAGAAACAGAGAAATCCTTCTCCCTCTAAGAGTCAGGATGGAAGTCATATAAAACACATACATAGGGAGCATGGCTTAATGCAATTTTTGTGTTTTTCTGCTCTTAGAGTTCAAGGGAAGATGGACTGTGTATACAATGCTGATAAAGAATAAGAAGGGTTTCCACTACTTCAGTTAAACTCCTGATGCCTTCCGGGACTTAGCATTTTGCATAGCGGAGAGCAAATTTATAGCTCACAGTTGATTGTTACTAGTAGGTCCTTGAGCTTCTCTGAGTCTGCTTTTCTTCTTGAAAATGTTGCATTACCAGGATAGTTCACCCAGAGCCAAGCATACCGTTTTCTCAGCAAGGATATTGAAGTGGCTTGTCATTGCCTTTTTCCAAAATGTGCGCAAATATTATTGTTTGACCTGCAAGGTAATCCAGACAAATTACACAACCAGGAGTACTAATTCCATCTTATTGTCAAGTTACATTAACAGAATCTGGCAAAACTGAGATTACCCCCCCCCCTTTTTTTTTTCCCTTTCCTTTTACTCTTGGGGAAACTAGGGAGGGTGCCTTCTCAAGTGCTTCCAGTAACTTTCTTTCTACTGTGGGCTGAGACATCTTTTAATGCCAGTTTCCAATCTGCAGCTCTCCCAAGGTCTTTCCCTCATACCATTAACATAAAATGAATTATCCTTTTTTAAAATTGGGAAGCAAGAAAGAAGGTGGATGCAAAAGATATTTTTGGAAGAAAGACATTTGTATTTTTTGTTTAAATGCAGCAAATACCAAACAAAAGGTAAAAGATAAAGACTTCCCCTGTCCACTCTAGGAGATGGTATTTTAAAAGTTCGCAGGTTGGAGGCATTAAAAGGAGATGCATGGTGTAACAACAAGCCTTCTTTATTGTTCCCTTCCACAACCAAGAACAACCAAAACGACATGCAGGCCTTTTATAGTGTCCAAGACCCGGACAACGTCAACCAATGATTGCAGGGGCTGTTTCCCACCTTACGCATGTGCACAAGGCTTGAGACAGCCAGTCTGGTCCCAGGCAGCTTTTGGTCTGCCCAGGACCCTTTGCAACATTTCTGAGCCTGCTGAATGCTTCAGCAGGCTCAGGACATAACACCCCTCCCCCCTGGATGAAACAATAATATCTTACTATGTAGCAGCACAGGTACATGCATTCAATGGATTGGATGTTATTGTGAAGCACAATATGCCTGCACACAGGCAGGGCACTCTACTTTTATAATTATCAAAGAAAAAAAACACAACAAAATAATATGCTGGGAAAATATCCCTTTACTGAGTGTTTATTCTGCATTTGTTTAAGGACTAGTAAGGTTCCCTTGACTTCACAGAAACCTCACATAATCCCCAAGATGTTTGGGTGGGCCCTTGGCCCGCTGTGACTTTCTGATGGCCGGTGAATGTGCTTGGCCTTCCAGATCTTCTGCCAGGCTAGGCAGACCAGGATTTTGATGTCCCAAAGACTATGGTGCCCCACCCAGCTGCTGACTGGCTGGATCCTCTGAATCCAAGCCAGGTTTCCTTGGGGGGTGGAATTCCCCAAGTCCAGTGATGGGGTGAAATTCCCCAAATCTACAATGGACTCCTCTTGGGAGCACTATCCCTCGAGCCCAAGACCAGCAGCTGGAGTGGCCTGAGTGACTGATGTGCCCCAGTACCCCATTGACCCCGTATGCATGCCGGAGGGGCCAGAGTCAGGAGCCACCTCCATGGCAAACCCCCTTTCTGGAGACTCCCTCATTGGAGCACTTGCTGAAGCCTGGGATGACCCCCATTCTGGAGCAATAGCTGAATCTTGTGAATGCTCCTGTTCTGCCATGCGTGTGAAAACCCACTGAATCCTGTGAATGCTCCTGTTCTGTGCTGCAGCATGTGAAAACCTGTTGGAGCTGGAAGACTGTGGTCCAGAATAAAGATTATGGTCCTCCCCCCCCCTGAGAGCAGAGCCAGGAGCGGAAACATTGCTGGGTAGCCTCCAGCGCAGTTGGTCTATGTGCCGTCGGATGACATGCCCATCGTCCAAGGCCACTTTGTATGACAGCGGCCCAAAGACCTTGCATACTACTGCTGTGACCCAGAGATGTCCAGGACCATAGTTCCTTGCCCAGACCGGATTGCCCACCTGTAGTCTCTTAGGTGCCTGCGACTGTGAGACCTGTGAAGCCAGACCCAGTAATACCACAGAGCGTGCACTCCATTACACTTTGGAAGATGCAAGGGGCTACATTAACCCCAAGCTGCAGTCTTTTGACCTTAAAGGCTCCCCTGTGAGTTACGATTGTTTGAGCCTCAGCTGTTGCCTCATCAACAGGGAACTGTTGGTAGGCTTGTGCCAAATCAAGCTTTGCAAAAATTCGCCCACCCCCCTTGAGGGAGGCCAGAATATGGCTCACCACAGGCACTGGATATGCATGCTGCTGCAGTGCTTTGTTCAGTGTACATTTATAGTCCATGCAAATTCGGACCTCCATTAGCCTTTAGAGACATTACAATGGGGGTTTCCCATAGACTAGAGTCCACAGGTTCTAAGATGCCCTGCTGGAGCAGCTTGTCCACCCTGTATCAGTTTTGCTTTTGAGAGCAAAAGGCACCCTTCTAGGCTTAATCCTAATAGGTGTGATAGCTGGGTCTAAGCGTAGGGCAATGGGAGGCCCCTTTGATAAACATATAGCAAACTCCTTGCAGACTTCTGCAAGGCCTAATGTTTGCAGGCTGTGAAGCCCAGTCACTTGGATCCCAAAGGCCTCAAACCAATCGAGTCCAATGAGACCCGTGCAATCACCCCCAACTACCACCACATCTAGTAGGCCTTCAAAAGCATTACGCTACACCTTGAGCATAGCCTCCCCCTTCACACTGATTCTGGAATTCTGGAAGTCAGTGAGAATTAAGATTGATGGCCTGAGTTTGACTTGAAGGCCACTACTGCTGCAAATCCTTTTGAAGGTGTCATGTGAAATGATCGATAGAGCAGACCCTATGTCCAACTCCATTGACAAGGGAACCCCTTGCAGCTTCACGTCAATGCAAAGCTTTTTCTTAAAGGGCTTGTGTTTCCCTGTTCTCAAAATGCTTCTGCACGACATGTAGAAACCCACCCTGTGTTGGCTGGGGACCCTGGTACCTTTCTGAAGCAATTCTTCCCGAGGTTGAAACTTCTGGTGACCCAAACAGATGGAGGCAATGTGGCCTTGCCTGCCACATGACCGGCAAATGGCAGAGAGGAATCTGCAGTCAGCTCGCTTGTGACGTCCTCCAGACCCAAAACACTGAGGAGATGTCTGGATGCTCCTTCGGCCTTCTCTCTGCTGGCTGGTGCAGCCTGTCCACCTCCACTTCAGGATCCTGTTCTGGATCTTCTTGAGCGACCTCTTGATGGATGGTCACGGTGGCTGGAGGAGTTCTGGTGAGCTGCAAAGCCTTCACAATGCCGCCCACTGCTTCTTCAGCTGCAACCTCTCTCAAGACATCTTGGAACAAAACATCTTCCTTGGCGAAGATCTTCTGCTGCAGCTCACGACTCCTTAGGCCGCAAACGAAATGATCCCACAGCCTCTCTTCCAGGTCCTTGAATTCACAAGGCCTCACTGCTTGCCTTAAAGCAGCAATAAAGTCCACAGCACATTGCCAAGCAATTACAGAAATTTTAGGGTGGAAATGTTCTTTCAGCATCTTCTTCAAGTCTGCATAAGACACTGACTTCAAAAGTGCCGGGGCCACCAGATTCTCTGCTATGTCAAATGTTTCCTGCCCACAGACACATAGCAGGGTAGCCGCTTTAAGGCCGTCTTCTCTTATCTGATTGACCCTGAAATAGTTTTCCACCCATGCCACATACAAATTCCAGTGCTCCGGGTGGGCAATCTTAAACTCTGACAAGCGGCCAATCATAGACATCTTCTGTAACCATCGTTAACCTCTTCGCTGCAAACCTGTTATCTGGGGAAGGGGTCCCTTAGCCGAGGTCACCTTCAGTGATGCTGTACTGGCAGGCAGAGTCGCTGTGCTGGGCGCCAAACTTCCCAGGACTTCTTGGCAAGTCCTCTTTTCTTCGTTGTTAATTGTGGCTTACAGCGATCCCACCTTCGTCGACACTGTTAAGTTCGCAGGTTGGAGGCATTAAGAGGAGATTCATGGTGTAACAACAAGCCTTCTTTATTGTTCCCTTCCACAACCAACAACAACCAAAACACCGTGCAGGCCTTTTATACTGTTCAACCAATGATTGCAGAGGCTGTTTCCCGCATTGCACATGCGTGCAAGGCTGGAGACAGCCAGTCTGGTCCCGGGCAGCTTTTGGTCTGCCCGGGACCCTTTGCAACATTTCTGAGCCTGCTGAATGCTTCATCTCTGTTTCCTAGCTGAGAGAGACAGTGTTGTCTTAAGACATTTCCATGGTAATGTGGCCAGCATGACTATAGGCAAAGATGCACAGAATGTGCTGCTGTCTTCCCTCCAAATAGGTACCTACCAGTGTGTATTAACTTACATTTGCATGCTTTCAGACTGCTAGGTTGGAAGGAGCTGTGGGAAGAACAAGGTACTTGGGTCTGAAACTGTTTGTTGACAAACCCAGCATCTTAACCACTAGGCCACTAAGGAATTATTAATAAGTATATCCACTGTGTTTATGACTAGTACAGACTTTATTACAGGAAGTAATCTTACTCATTCTGCTTCATCTTGGTTCATTTTAAGTATTTTCTGGGATTTTCAAATGCTATTTTATCATATGACAGCACCCAGCAATTTAAACCACTACCTATCCCGTTCAGTTGTTGAACGGGACCTCACAGTTCTGCTCTGCACCTTAGAAAACAGCAGCTTGTTCCTGCCTTGGAAATATAAAGCAGCATGAAAGAAAGTTGTCATTTATGTCCTTACATAGAAAATTGACACGCAAAAAATTTTGGATGCTAGTGCTCAATTGTTTCCTTGCCACCTGAAGATTTTTCCTCAAATATGTCACTTATTATAAGAAAAATTGTGGTCATATTTATTAACAATAAAATGGAGAGGCTTTCTCAGAGAAGCTGATATAAACCAGAGAAGGTGTGAAGAAAAGTCTCAGAATGAACAAAATGGGCAAGACAGAAGGACAAACAGCCTGTGCTAACTGTTCAGCTACTGACCCCCAAATCTTGGAATTTTTGTTACCTAGTATGATAATGAAATCTCTGCAACCCCAAAACCAAGCTAGGAGGACTCTACTAATGGAACCTGCACCCTGAGCTTCATGTATTTGCTATCATCAGCAAAGTCAAATTTGCCAGAAAGTTTTGTGTACACTTTTTCTTTTTGCTAGAAGGTAGGAAATAGTTAAAACATGAAAGAGAATATTAATTATCAAAATGTTAATTTGTAATATCGACAGGTGCCTGTATTATCACATCCTTATTTCCCTAATTCTGTTTCATTCTGTTCCCTATATGGACAAGATCTAATCTAATCTAGGTTCCCCTGGAAGGATATTTCTTCCAAAAGGAGAGGAATTTTACAGCTCTTTATTTGTCCTTATAGTATGTCAAAACCCTGATTGTTTGATTCATCAATCTTTTCCAAATAGTGTTATGTAAGATGTTGTTCTTTCCATCATAAGCTTTTTTATAATTCTTTGTCAGAGGTTAGGTCACTTTTGCAAACAAGAAGATAATCCCTATTGAAACACTTCCAAGAGTACCAAATGACCTTTTCGTGGAAATCAGTGTGGTGGCCTTAATTGATTGGCTTGATAAAATCTAAGGAGGCGACATAAAAGATTATATCTAGTACTGACAACATCATCAAGATAACCCTGCGAGTCCCATGAACTGTTTATAGCTGATATAATCTTTGCCAATACCGCACATACAGTTCCCAGAATGGCACTAAACCAGAATCGGCAAAAATAAATAATAATAATAACAAAAATTGCACATAAATGTGGCCAAAAAACCTGGATAAGTGAAAGGAAAAGAAAGATTTCAGGTCTTGGGGCACCTCTTTAAAATTTATTACTTGGAACTGACAAGATGTAATTTTGGTACTCAACCTGCTTTGTTATCTCTTTCTGACACTAGCAAATCAAAACCCATCAAGACCCAAAGCATCCACGTCATTATTATCAGCAGCTCTCTCAGCCTGCAGATTGCATACTGCAATGTAAATTAGGTTAAGAACAATGTGTAAATTCTGGAGGTCTAGAAATTTTCTTGATTGTTCAAAGTCTCCCTTATCTAGTGGTGACCTGGACTGGCCTGATGGTGAGGGTGACCATATCTGATGACCTTTACTTATCAAAAAGTCTTTTATTCAACCACTTCCTCCTTTGACAGTAGGGCCATTGGTTTGGACTCACTGAAGCATACCAGGTGAAGTATAAATGACTTAAAAGCCAGTGTCATCAGGACAACTTCATTACTTGGAAGAGCAAAGAGTAGAAGAGAGGCAAGATGTTCCATCCATTGGTTGCTTGTTTTTTTGTGGTGGCATTCGGACAATTTCTGGTAAGAGGGGATCAGTTTAGAGTGTTGGGCTTAATGACTTACATAAACAACCTTGAAATCATCTCTCCTTATTTTCTCGCCCAGCTTTCCTTCTTTCATTCTTTGGATGAGATACTGTCATCATTTCAGTACCAATGTAACTGCCATGTTTTCCCACTATATTTGCACATTGCTCCTATCTGCAATTATCTGCAAGAGTGGGAGAAGTAGGGGTGGAGAAATGTCAGCTTGATGTCCAGACACACCAGGTCAGTCTTTCCAAGAGAAGTGTAAAGTTACATTATAGATACCAGGGAAATATAAATTGCTAGTGTCTTCGTTTGGGCATCTCTTAGAATAAAAAAGGGCTCACCTTTTAAATGCGAAAACACCCACTCCCAGTTGTTCAAGATACACTTTTTCTGTTTTTGTTACAATCATTTTTGAATTTTTATTTAATGAATTAACAATTAATTGGTTTAGATCTGTTTTCAGCACTGAAAATAAATGGGTATGCCTAAACATGAAAATGAGTACCATAGCCTTTTTTTTTTTTTTTACATTTCTCCTTCCCATTCTATTTGTCTTTCTCCTGTTTGCTATTTTGCTAATTATCATGATAACGTTTTTCTTTCGGGAGGTCCAGGCCAAGTTGAAGATAAGCACTCCATGTTTCCAACATTTGCATGCCATATCTGGCATCCATAAGACTGATATCTCTTTGCGGAACCATGGTTTTGCTAGTGTCCCTTTTTAAATTAATTACAACAAGGTTTGAAACATAATGATGATGGTTATCTATCCATATAATGGCAGAACCAAGTTCTCAATTCTAATCTAATATTTAAAAAAATAACCAGAAGCAGCAGTTACCAATATGACTGATGGTACATTAATACCAAGATAATAAAATAAAACATATTTATAAGGACCACAAATCATGGTTAGATATGTTTCCTTCCTTCTTTCCTTCTTTCCTTCCTTCCTTCCTCTCTCATCTCTCTCATCTCTCTCTCTCGCTCTCTCCCGCTCTCTGTCCCTCTCCTTCTATCTAATCTGTCCTTCCTTCCTTCCTTCCTTCCTTCCTTCCTTCCTTGCTTCCTTCCTTCCTTCCTTCCTTCCTTCCTTCCTTCCTTCCTTCCTTCCTATATTTCTATATATAGGCACCATGGCAAAGATACTTCTTGTGTTCCAATTCATGTCCAGGAGAAAGAAATTAGCCTAGGTGTTCATGCACAGTGTATCTCTTTACCAGAGAGAAAAGATCTGCAATTTCTTTAGCTGATTTTTTTTAGTCCAGAATTTGGCCCTTTTAGCAACTTTTCCCCCCAAGAAGTTTATTATGTCACTTGTGATGTCCAGTTCTCAGTCAGTCCCTTTCACTGAGAAATGGCAAACATGGGCACCATTTCTAAGTCTATTGTATTTTTATTGTAAACCACCCAGAAGTGAGATGGTTAGTGCAGAAATGTGATAAAACAAATAAAGCTCTCAATACTTGTTACACCTCAGAATCAAGGAACATTCTGCCCTGATTCTGAGGTGCCTTTTGCAAATCATCAATGTTTTGCTTTTATTCTCGAAAAGCGAATTTTAATTATCCTCCAAATCCTCCGGATATGGTCCAATATTGCAGTATCTGAATGTTCCAAAAAGACTCACCCAGAGAAATCCATGCTTTTTGCACACAGGACACACAGGAAAATCCAGGCCATGAGGTGGAACTTAAAACAATAATGTTTCGTTAATTTTATTTTCTTTAATTTAGATACCATCATCATCATCATAATTGCTATTTCTCTTAGGAACTTGCTGAATGTTAGAAAGGGTTGTCTCTTGCCCATATCCCTCCTTCCCTCCATTTCCCTCCTTCCCTCCATTCTGTGCTTAATCTTTGGCCAAATGGGATAGATTGCCAAATATTGCTCTTTACTTCATATCACATTTTCGGTTTTGCATTCTTCCCCAGGCTGCTGTTGAGGAGGTTTCTGACTTGCTAGATTCAGCAAAAAAGGACCTTAAGGTGAGTGTCAGAAAATATTATACTAATATTTTAGTACAATATTATACTAACTTCCCTTAATGCAGTGGTTCTCAACCTGTGGGTCGGGACCCCATTTGGGGTCGAACGACCATTTCACGGGGGTCGCCAAACAACGCAGTCCGCCATTTTTTCCCCCTTTTCCTTAGCTGTGCTACTCCCTTTTATTCTATTGGCTTTTGAAAGCCAATAGAATAGACTCTCTTGAATAGAGTCTAATTCTATTGGCTTTCAAAAGCAACAGGAATTGTCCAGGCTGTCTCTGCCCTGCTGAGCCTGCCAAAAGTCCCATTCTGCAAACGGTGCTGCACCAGTTGAGTAGTCCTCAACTTATGACCGGTTGAGTAGTCCTCGACTTATGACTGGTTGAGTAGTCCTCGACTTATGACCGGTTGGGGGTTGCCACATTAAAAAGGTTGAGAACCACTGCCTTAATGGAAGTCCTATAATTGGACACACACTGAGGACTATTTTTTTCAGACAGCTTCTGGGGCCAGACACACACTAGAAGGCTGATATTTACCCTTTGGCCTGCTCTGCAGGGCAACCTGTCCACTTCCCACAATTCCTGAGATATAACTTGCTGCGTAGCTTGGTGGGAATCTCAAGAGGGTTGATCAAAATGTTTTATTGTCCTATGGAACACCTTATCAACACCTCCTGCTTCTTTTTTAGTCTATCAGAACCAACTGAAAAAGTTTAGAGTATAATGAGAAGTCAGGAAAGCACTAGCACTAGCCCTTAGACTTATATGCCGCTTCACAGTACTCTACAGCCCTCTCTAAGAAGTTTACAGAGTCAGCCTATGGCCCCCAACAATCTGGGTCCTCATTCTACCAACCTCGGAAGGATGGAAGGCTTAGTCAATCTTGAGCTGGTCAGGATCGAACTCCAGCCAGTGGGCAGAGTCAGCCTGCAATAGCAATAGCACTTAGACATATATAATGCTTCCCAGTGCTTTGCAGGCCCCTCTAAGTGATATACAGAGTCAGCACATTGCCCCCAACAATCTGGATCCTCATTTTACCTACCTCAGAAGGATGGAAGGCTGAGTCAACCTTGAGCCAGTGAGAATCAAACTGCAGAACTGCTGGCAGCAGAAATAGCCTGCAGTACTGCTTTCTAACCACTGTGCCACCACACCCCCCCCCAAAGGTGGTTCTATAATGAAAGACAGAAATTTAACAAGCACCTTCCATCTACCTTTTATCTAAAGTAAATTCAAGACCTCACTGCTAAGAATGACTCGCACTTTCACATACAACTTGGCAATAACAGGGAGTGGGGTGGATGAAATGCAGGGGTGGGAAAATGGTATTCAAGCATCCGTTGGCTTCTGTGAGGCATTGCTGTCATCCCAAGGACACACATTGCAGATGTCCCGGTGTGGCTGGCTGTTTCCCATAACAAAATGAACAGAAGAGATTGGTGGACGTTTTGGACTGTGGGTGGCCCACAGGGAAAAGGGGAAATTACCTACGCTTGCTTTTGCAAGGGAAACTCAGAGCTGGTTTTGCTTCTTCTGTGCCAAAGTACTTTATTCATGATTCTTGGTAGAATAATGTCCCAGGAGTTCCTTTTTCTGGATTCCCCAACTGGACAATTGACACTCACTCAGCTCGTGAGAATTTCTCCTGGAATCCTTCTCCCTTTGAAAGAATTTGGAAAAAGAAACAATCTTGCTTTCAACCAAACTGATAGAGGGAAAACTAGAGCAAACTTCCTGCAAGGCATTTACAAAAACTATTTAACTCTCGGCAACTAACAGCAAAACTTTTCCGTGTTTCCATGATTAGTAGGGGAAAGCAGAATGTTTTAACTCTTCTTTTTATTATTCTTTCTTCAGGAAAAACATGAACTTGTGGAGAAAAAAGGAGCTGTGAGTATGTTGGAAGGATGCTACATTGGCAAATGACATAGAAGGATAGCTCTATCATTAGATAAAGGGAGACAGGAGGGAGAATGATGGCAGGTTTTTAAGCTTCTTATCCAGTAAGCCATCCTTTTCCTACTTGATGCTCTGCTGGGAATGCAAGTCTCCAAAATTCAACCTGGCATGGCTTATTTGAAGTCATTAGATAGTGATCAGCTATTCCCAATCTGCTTAACCTCCGAATGTGTTGGATGGGCTAAGTTCATTGTAGAGCAGTGGTTCTCAACCTGTGGGTTGGGACCCCATTTGGGGTCAAACGACCATTTCACGGGGGTCGCCAAACAACGCAGTCCGCCATTTTTTCCCCCTTTCCTTAGCTGTGCTACTCCCTTTTATTCTATTGGCTTTTGAAAGCCAATAGAATAGACTCTCTTGAATAGAGTCTAATTCTATTGGCTTTCAAAAGCCAATAGGAATTGTCCAGGCTGTCTCTGCCCTGCTGAGCCCGCCAAAAGTCCCATTCTGCAAACGGTGCTGCACCAGTTAAGTAGTCCTCGACTTATAACCGGTTGGGTGGTTGCGGCATTAAAAAGGTTGAGAACCACTGTTGTAGAGGCAGATGGGACTTGTAGTTTATCACTTGTAGTTGATTCCCCCTCCCCCTTTCTACAGGAACTCCAAGAGGTTGCTAGCCCGCATCTTCTAGCATTAAATAATCGTCTGGTGAGTGTCAAAAAATATATACTCATATCTCTTTAAGTTCTATAATTGAGTATAAACCAAGGAGTATTACTCTGAGGTAGCTTTTGGGACCACCACTTCCAGAGAGATGCTAACAGGACTCGTATTTATCTTTTGATCTGTTCTGCAAGGCAACCCACCCACTTCCCTCAATGCCTAGGATGTAACATGCTGCAAAGCATGGTGGGAATCTCAGGATGACTGATCAAAGTATTTATTGACTTCTGCAACACTTTATCAATGCCTTCCTGCTCCTCCTTCCTTCCTAGGAAGTCTGGACTATAATGAGAAGTCAGGGAGGCCCCCACAAGGATGATTGTATAATAAGAGGCAGAAAGTTAACAACCACCATTTCATCACCTTTCATCTAAAGCAGGGGTCTCCGAACTTGACAACTGTAGGACTTGTGGACTTCAACTCCCACAATTCCTCAGCATGGCTGTCCACAAATCTTAAAGTTGCCAAGTTTGGAGAGTCTTGATCTACAGGAAATTCAAGACCTCACTCAATTCATGACAATTTCTCCAGAAATCTCTTTTCCTTTGAAAGAACTTGGAAAAAGAAACAAACTTCCTTTGTACCAAAACACTAGTGGAAAAGAAGGACAATTTTCCTGCAAGGCCTTTAAAAAAACTGATGAACTCCCAGCAACCAGCAACAAAACTCTTCTGTTTCCAGGATTAGTAAGGAAAACCAGAATGTATTAACTGTTCTTTTATTATTTTTTTTATTCAGAAACATATGGTGAAAAGAGCTGCTGTAAGTATGCTGGAAAATGTTACATTGGCAAATGATAAACATGTTTACCCCTGTCATTAGGTAAAATGCGTCAATCGTCTCAGCCAGGAGAAGGAGAAAGATGGCACAATTCTGATGTTCTCCCCCATTAAGCCATCCTTCTCCTACTTGATGCTTTCCAACCAGACTGGGAATACAAGTCTCCAAAATTCCATCTGTCGTGGCTTATTTAGAGTCATTAGATAGTGAAAACCAGCCATTCCCAGTCTGCTTATCTACCAGTATGCTGAGTTCACTGTGGAGTGAACCAAGTGATGTAGTTTACCACAACTGAAAAATGGTAAGTTGGAGAAGTCCCAGAAGTGCTTTTTCAAAAGAAAACTGGACTTTCCTGGCTCTTCAGTTCTTAGATAAAAGGCAAAATGTTTTCGAGGAGGAAAAAAAAAACTAAGAAAGTCCATTTGCCTTTTGAAAAATAACACTTTTGGAACCACCGTGACCTTGAGGATTGAGAATATCCACAGATATTAAGTTGAAAAAGGTTCACATGACTCTAAAACAGAAGTGCTTAATTAGATCCCAATCCTACCCCCTAAGATTCTTGGTGATCCCAGAGCTCTCCAGAATTACTTGCTTTATTTGGTAATTTTTACTATAGAGGAGGAAGTGATCAAACCCCCTGATTAGAGAGCAATGACATTGATTCTATTTATTTTTAATCACCTACGGTATACATGTAAATAAAATGGTTCTTGTTGTGTTTGCAGGTTAGAGACACTAAGAGGCAATGCATGGTGTAACAAACAAGCTTCTTTTATTGTTCTCTTCTTACAACCAGCAGCAGCAAAATGGCACGCAGGCCTTTTATAGTGTCCTAGACCCGGACAGTATCAGCCAATAAAAATCCGGCTGTTTTTGCGCCCTGCGCATGTGGGCAAGGCTGGAGACAGCCAGTCTGGTCCCAGGCAGCTTTTGGTCTGCCCGGGACCATTTGCAACATTTCTGAGCCTGCTGAATGCTTCAGCAGGTTCAGGACACAACAGTTCTGCTTTGTTGCCTTGGTCCAACTACCCGTTTCTCTTTCAAATGTATTCCTTGGTGCATGCGTGCAAGGCCAAATGTGGCTTTTTCCCCCGAGGAAAAAAGATTGCCTTTTTATTTCAAACAAGTGCAAATCTCATTGCAAATGAATACTCTTCCCTGTTTGTTTTTTAGGACGAGGAAATGGGACAAGGACAAAACGAGCAGGAAGCAGGAAGAGGAAAAGGAAAGGGGAAAGGAAGAGGAAAGGGGAAAGGAAGAGGAAAAGGAAAGGGGAGAGGGAAAGGAAAAAAAGGGAAAGGAAATGACGCTCAGGTAAGAAAAGGGATTAAGTCCAAAAATTATCCATTTATCTATCATTCCGGTATCTTCTACCTTTGATCCTCTGCTGTGCCACAAAAACCCAGAACCAATGTTTAAAACAAACTCCCAAATGTAGCCTATGCTTTAAATGCAGCCACTAACTGACCAGGTTAAATATGTTGAGCAAACCCAGTTGGACAGCAAGCTGCTGGTACAGTTTATTGCATTCCCCTCCCCCTGTTTGACATTATGCTTCTTTGCGGGCATTGTAATTCTAAGCTTGTCTAGCAGGCATGACTGAACTGCTATTACATAGTTAGGGAAAGCCAGGTTTGTCTGATCATAGGCAAGTCTCAGGATGGACTAATGCCTGTATTTTTCTAGGGTCAAGAAATGCAACAGCCTGATTCCCAAGAGTAAGCGCTTCGGGTAAGTTTTCTAATGCAATATCTGTTTCCAAACATTCATGTGCAAGCAACATCTGGTTTTCTCACTGAAGGTCAAGTCTGAATTCCAGTCCCCAATTTCCAGGATGTTGATTTGCAGACCTGTCACACCATGGGGGGTGCTGGGTAAATTACGTCCCATGTATAATAACATTGTCTTCATCCAAATAATATGAATTGCATAAGCGATGAAATTGTGACACACAAGAATTCTTTTTTATTATTATTTATTTATAACAACAACAACAACAACAACAACAACAACAACAACAATAATAATAATAATAATAATAATAATAATAATAATAATAATAAAGTTGGAAGGGACCTTGGAGGTCTTCTAGTCCAACCCCCTGCTCAGGCAGGAAACCCTATACCATTTCAGACAAATGGCTGTTCAATCTCTCCTTCAAAATCTCCAGTGATGGAGCATTCACCACTTCTGGAGGCAGGTTGTTCCACTGGTTAATTGTTCTAACTATCAGGAAGTTTCTCCTTAGTTCTAGGTTGCTTCTCTCCTTGATTAGTTTCCATCCATTGCTTCTTGTCCTGCCTTCAGGCGCCTTGGAAAATAGCTTGACTCCCGCTTCTTTGGGGCAGCCCCTGAGATATTGGAAGGCTGCTATCATGTCCCCCCTCGTCCTTCTCTTCCTTAAACTAGATATATCCAATTCCAGCAACTGTTCCTTATATGTTTTAGCCTCCAGTCCCCTGATCATCTTTGTTTATCAAATTTATACACCAGCCATCTTACTGCAGGCAGTCCTCGACTTACCACAGTTTGCTAGTGGCCGTTCAAATGGCACTGCAAAAAAGTGACTTATGACCGTTTTTCACACTTACGACTATTGCAGCATCCTTATGCTCATGCGATCAAAATTCAGATGCTTGGCAACTATTTCATATTTATAATGGTTACAGTGTCCTGGGGTCATGTGATCCCCTTTTGTGACCTTCCGACAAGCAAAGACAATGGGAAAGGGATTCACTTAACAACTGTGGGCAGAAAGGTCTTAAAATGAGGCAAAACTAACTTAGCAAATATCTCCCTTAGCAAATAAAATTGTGGTTGTGGTTGCAAGTTGAGGATTACCTATATTTAAGTGACTCTGAGCAATTTACAAATAAAAAACATAAAATCCACACAAAAGATATCATTCTGATATCGTTGTTTCTTCTACCAGATGCCTATGAATGTTGGCATCTGGTTTAAAGGAATAATTTACCAAGTTTCTGTTAATGATGTTAACAGATTAATGATGTTATTGATTTTTCCTGGTGGCTTTGCTTTTTATAAGCTTCTATTTCCACAAAGCTTTGGGCATAATTTTTTCCCTTTTCTCCCCATTTAGTTGGGATGACTCCAAAATACCAACCATTTTCAAGGCTAATCACCGGCATACCACATTCCCTCAAAACTAGGCAAAAATTAGGTAGAAATATGAAGAAACCTCTGTTGTCCCAAAACTGGGTCTTAGCCTCGTATCGAAGCCAATTGATCACCAAACCCAAGATATGGAAAAAGACTTTTATTTTGGTACCAAGATGAAAGTAGCCTTGGCTTTGAAAGCTACCAAGGCCCTGATTACAGTTTAACAGCAGTTTTTATAATCAAAAGTCATTCACATACACCCCTGTGCCCTCCCCTAATAATACATGCATAACATATAATATTGATTGGTTACCTGGATTTCAGCCCCCTCAAGCTTTCTCGCTTGCTATGCCAAATAGCTAAATGTCACACCACCTATTGCCCACCTCAGGTCACAGGTATCTTGCAAAGCTTCTAGTTTCCTGTGCCAGCTATGTGGTTTTGGGTTTTCTTGCAAGTGAGCTAGCTATTCATGGACCCAACATCCTGGCTAAGTGGTTGAATCTCTCTTAGTAATAAGTAATAATAATACAGTTGGAAGGGACCTTGGAAGTCATCTAGTCCAAACCCCTGCTCAGGGAGAAAACCCTATACCAATTCAGACAAATGGCTTTCCAGTCTCTTCTTTAAAACTTCCAGTGTTGGAGCATTCACAACTTCTGGAGGCAGGTTGCTCCACTGATTAATTGTTCTAACTGTCAGGAAGTTTCTTGCTTCATTGTCCCTGCAGCCTCCCCCCCACCCACACACACACACCCGCAGCCCCCCTTGCAATGTTATCAAGTAGCAAGCTTGCGCTGCAAATCTCTTAGTGAGCAGAAGAAAAAAGTTGTTAAAGAAAAAGTTGTTTAAGAGCAGGGCTTTTTTTGTCATAGAATGCCCAGAATGAAGTTTCAGCCACCTTTTTTGGATGGAACCTTGTAGAGTAGGCAAGGCGGGTTCTATGACATGTGTGAGTTTCAGCACCTTTTTTTTTTTTTTTTACAAAAAAAGCACAGTTTAAGAGTAAATATTTCTCTCAGAATTCATCTTTCTCGCTGACATATTCATCACACCCACACCGGAATCCTATCGCCACATATGGCCCATCTTCTGGGCCTCATCTGCACGTATATTCTTTCATCTGACCCTTCTTACAATCCACCCCTCTCCATTGTTCCCTCCTGCCAAAGTCCCACTGAACCTTGACACTCATATAGCACCAAAACTTTATGAATGGAGAAGAACATTTCTATAGCGAGCCCAGCCACCGAATTCCTTTGATGTCTGAGGTGGATATTTGGGGGTTTCCCAGAAATAGAGTCAGGGGCCACTTGTGCGCTGAGCTTGCCCCATGCTTTCGTGGCACTAAAATGTTTCAAACTGCAAACAGAATCTTTAGAAAATAAGTAAACTAGCTGAGGAATTGTGGGCTCATGAAAAAGGGCCTTCAGCTCTTTTGGAATCCTGAGCCAGGCCTGGACTAAATTTGCCCCCTTTTATTGGCTGTGCCCTCAGTCATCTGATCCTTCTGCTCTTCCAGGTGTTGCCAGTGTGGGAAGGAAGACCGAGCTGCTAGACAAAGTCCTCCTCTCCTCCAAATTAGAAGCAAGAACTCACCTGGTGAAATGCATCAAAAAATAGGGGTGGTGGTGGGTGTAGTGACTGTTTATTTTCTGTCTGCTGGGTTTGGGGAGCTTTCAATGACAATAAAGTCAGAGTAGCATCCGTTCTTGTCCTTCTCTGATTTTCAAGGCATAAAAATGATCAAGACTCAGTCGCATCAAATGCCTACATGACCAGCCTTCTCTGTCTTGTAAGCCTAGCATCAGCCTTGGGGTTTATGATATGATATTAATAATAATAATTAATAATAATAATAATAAGAAGAAGAAGAAGATTGCACAGACTGACTACAAGCAGCGGCATGACAAAGTAGCAACAATGGTGCATTGGAAGATCTGCAAAAAATATCATTTGCCTGTAAGCAAAAACTGGTGGGATCATAAAATAGAGAAAGTCATAGAAAATGATAAAATTAAACTGCTCTGGGACTTCAGAATTCAAACAGACAAGCACCTGCAACATAACACCCCAGACTTAACAATTGTCGATAAGAAAGACAAAAAAGTCTGGATAGTGGACGTGGCAGTGCCTGGAGACAGCAGAATAGACGAGAAAGAACTGGAGAAGATAACAAAATACAAAGACCTACAAATAGAAATAGAAAGACTGTGGCAAAAGCAAGCAAGGGTAGTACCAATAGTAATAGGCTCCTTGGGTGCAATCCCAAAACAAATGGAGCACCATTTGAACACCATTGGCATTGACAAATTCACTATTAGTCAATTGCAAAAGGCAGCCTTACTAGGAACTGCTTCCATCCTACGACGATATCTTTAATACCATCAAACATCCACATCTGCCTATCCCAGGTCCTGGGTAAGGACTCGATAAGTAGACAAAATGCCAAATCCAGTCTGAACATCTGGCTGACTGTGCGATGATCCATAATAATAAAAATTACTTCCTTACTGACACAATTCACCACCACAAAGAAATATCCTCATGCTCGTGTCATCTGTCACATTCCCCATGTGCACATCCATGGTCAATGTCTGAATTCCCCCTTCTGCTGCTCAGTCCCCAGGACGAAGTTTCAACCCAATGTAGTGCTAAATCTATTTGTAAGGGGTTTGCTTGCTTGTTTGTTTGTTTGTTTATATATTTATTACATATATTTGCTGCCCCTCTTACATCAAAGCAAGTCTGGGCAGCTCTCAACATCAAAAAAGCAATTTAATCATAAAGGCTAAATATTTATAAAAACAATAAAAATAGGATTACAACCAAAAGTAAAGCTACAATTAAAAGATGGGGAAGAAGCAGGGTGTGTGAGGGAAGAAGGGATTATTCTTTAATTCATCAACCACCTCCAGGGTGATGCTCTGACATTGGGAGGATCTGCAGCTAACAGAGCCAGATCTTCAGGCCCTTATGGAAGATGAGGAGAGCGGGAGCCAATCTCACCTCCGGGGATAAGATCTTCCAAAGGGTAGGAGCCACAGCAGAGAAATTCATTCTCCTGGGTCTGGCCAACTGAGATTCCTTGACTGATGGGTTCTGCAGCATGCCTGTTCTGCTGGCATGGATGGGGCAGGCCAATCCCAGTGGACTGAGAGAGTTCATTAATTAACCTGGACCCATGCCATGCAGGTTTTTAAAAGTAAAAACCAACTCCTCCGAGGGCAAGATCTTCCCCCAGGCATCTCGCATGGACTGCACCATGCTTGGGTTTCCAACTGGGAACAAATACTAGCAACCTTATCCATCAGGTAGGAGTACGCTCTGGGGACTTTAGATATACTTCTGGCGTAGGTGGAAAAAGATAAAAGGGTGCTTGTTCAGATGGAAGAGCATTCAGAATAGCACAAAATTAAAAAAGGCTGCTTACCAAATGGTCAAATGGTATGATGCATGGAAATTATGATGTATGAAAATGAGGTTCAATCCTGTCTTCTGAGAGACAAGGGGCATCAGGGCATCCTTTAAATATTCCTAACAATAACCACATTCCTGTTGGAATTACTCCTGGAATTTCAGGCGATGCTTCAGAGGAGTGAGTCTCAGGAGGGTGGCTGTGGTTACATACAAAAGGAATAACAGAAAAGACTTCAAAGAAATGAGAGACATTAAATGAATATTGACTTACTGATACAAGGTTCTGAACTTCACCAAGATGGTTCTGCGAGAAGGATAAAAAACAAATTCCTGATTTTGCCTAGCTTTGTTACGCTGTGTGGAGCCTCTCATACCTTATTATTATGATTCATTTCATATTTTCAGTTCTTTCAATTGTATATTTGAATACTGTATTCAATCCAGGGCTTTTTGTAGTGGATGGTCATCCCATCTCAGTCATACACGGCAGACTTGCAAATAAAAAGGAAATGCTCCAAAATAAAATCCCAAATTTGGATTCTGCTACTCCTGGAATACAAATCCAGTTTTGGTCTCTACATTACAAAAAAGATGTTAAGACTTTAGGAAAAATGCAGAGAAGAGCAACTAAGATGATCAAAGGCCTGGAGACTAAAACATATGAAGAACGGCTGCAGGACTTGGCTTTGGCCAATATCGTTCCATATTCTTAAAACCACAATATGTTTCGTGACTCACTTTTTTATCGCAATCATTAAGCAAAACTTCCCCCATTGACTTTTCTTTTTGTAGGCTGGCTGGGCACATTGCAAGTCAGGATCACATGACCGTGGGACACTGCAGCCATGATAAATGTGAGACAGTTGCCAAGCACCTAAATCCCAGTCACAGTGCAACTATCATAACTTTGAGGATAGGTCATAGGTCACGTTATTCAGCATTGTCCTAACCTGGACCCATGCCATGCAGAGTTTTAAAGGTAATAACCAACTCCTTGCATTGCAACAGGAAGCAAACCAGCAGCCAGTGAAGTCCCAGATATTGAAGCTTCATGCACCCAAAGCCATTTGGTCATGCCAAGGTTCAGCCAAAACCAGTTGTTCCCCCCTCCAGGACCCCACAGCCTCCAGGCACAGTGAGAGGGCAGCGCAAGCATCACTTGGATCCCCAGGGGTGGAGATATAAAGTTGAATATAATCAGCATACTGATGACCCATCAACACTCAACCCATGGTGGCAAATAACCTCCCCCAGCAGCTTTATATAGATGTTAAAAAGGAGTGGAGAGAGTACTGAGCTCTGTGGCATGCCACAAAGGAGCAGTTGTGTGTTGGACCTCTCACTCCCTATCAGCACTGATTTGGATCAGCCTTGGAGAAAGGAGCCAAGCCAGTGCAATACTGTGCTGCCCAGCCCCAAACCCTGAGGCTGGCCCAAAAGGATAATAAGGTTGATGTTATTAAAGGCTGACGAGAGGTTAAGGAGAACAACAGTGATTGCACCGACCCAATCCTGCTCTCACCATAGATCTGCTTTTTCTTTCCCTGAACCTGAATCTTGACTGGAAGGGATCTAGATAATCTCCAAGATCCTCTGGAGATGCTAATCAATCAACTCTTTTACCACCTTCCTTAGAAAGGGAAGATGGGAAACTGGATGGAAATTATCCAGGCAGGTGGGATCAAGTGATATTTTTCTAAGAAGGGAGCGAACCAAGGCCTCCTTAAAAGGCCCCAGAAATGTCCCCTCCTGCAGTGAAGAATTTATCTCTGCTTCAATCCACCTGACAGTCATCATCCTGGGGGCTTTCACAACCAGCCGGGTCAATGATCTAATTGACAGGTGGATGCACTAATAGCATTAAAGACCCTATCCACTTCCTTGGGTCCAACAGGATCAAACTGTTCCCAGATAACTGGACAAGATCTTCCCCTGGGCATCTCACATGGACCTGCACCATGCTTGGGTTTCCAACTGGGAACAAATACTAGCAATGTTGTCCCTCAGGTAGGAGTATGCTCTGGGTACTTTAGATATACTTTTGGTGTAGGTGGGAAAGGATAAAAGGGGTGCTTGTTCAGATGGAAGAGCATTCAGAATAGCACAAAATTTAAAAAAGGCTACTTACCAGTACAGGTCGACCACACTAAAAAGGAAACAAAAGATAACTATTGTTGTAAAATTCATGACTTCTCCAACCACACCATCACTACCATCTTTAGTGTAACATGTATGAATTCCTTCATTGTCCAGATATAGAATGTGGTCTTTCACACACCGTGCAGTAATAGGGACCAAAAAGATGCATATATATTAAATCTTTTGAGAGATTGTTTTTTCTTTCCCTTTTCAATATTGTTCCATATTCTCACAACCACAATGTGGACCTTGTTTTGTGACTCACTTTTTTATCACAATCATGAAACAAAATGCTAGACACTACCTATTTCTTGTTTACAACACAGTTTTTTCATCAGTCCCAAGAAAGTTCCACATCCATATGCAATCTGATTTGGGTATCTCTCAGGATACAGGTAAACCCCCAAGTGACCCAAATGTGTCTCAGAGAGCTAATAGCTAGATGACTCAAAGAACATAAATCCTTCCATTCCCCACTATTCAGTTAGAACTGGAGAAGCTTCTTGGGTGAGAAATGAAATGTTTTCAAGGGAAAAAAAACAAAAATTCAGTTGCCTTTTGGAAAAGCATATTTGGGACAACCATTTTCTGGATGATTGGGAATCTCCACAGGCAATTGTGAAAATGAAAACTGAGAATATTTCAGCTGATCACTGAACTTTCACAGTTTTTATGGTAATTTGGTTAAAAATTCAAGAGAGAGTTTATCTGAAGTTCAGCTTATCCATAAGCCTATAGAGCAATACTAAAAAGAATAATAGGCTATTGTACATTGCTACTGTAATCAATGCTAGTATATTATACCAAGAAATGGGGATGAGGTCCTTGTGAAATCCAGCCTATTATAAAACAAATAGGAGTCTTGAAATCCACAGGAGATATGATTGCAAATGGTATGATTCATGAAAATTATGATTTATGAAAATGAAGTTTCAACCCTGTCCTCTGGGGAGACAAGGGGCATCAGTGCATCCTGAGGCTACAAAAAAGATGATAAGCATGTTATAGTATCATCACATAAATTCCCATCAACATTTCTTACAATATCCAAATTCCTACTAGAATATCAGGAGATGTTTCTGGGTGTGAGTTTCAAGAGAGTGGCTGCGCCTACATACAGGAACGACAGTGAAGAAGGCGTAAAGAGCA